TGACAGGAATTCAAAAAATCTGACAGGAATTCAGATAAGAGACTGTACTTTCCTTTCTCACATGACCATTATGACAAGGACCTGAGTGTCCACACGGTTTCCTGATTCCCTTCTTGCCTGTGCATGAAGCCACCCAAGTTCCCATCGGTGGTGAGGGTATCAGTTTCTCTGAGTCCTTGTCTTTAACGCAGGCTGTGCTTTGGGCATGGTTAGCTGCAATCTTTTATTTGTTTTTCTTTTTTTGTTTTTGTACAGGGAATCAAACTCAGGATCTTGATCAGGCACTTGTGCTGCTGAGCTATATCCCTGGCCCTGCAGTCTTTTATTTCTGTCCTGTGATCTAGCCACATCAATTAATTCAAGAGAAAAAAGATGTGAAATAATTTTTCTGATACCACGCTGTCCTTTACTTTTTACCAGTGTCCTAAGCCTCCTGCTTCTCTTTGGGCTGGACAAACCTCCATGTTCTCACTTTAGATATTTTATGAATATTTTGTTGCTAGTAGTTCTCTGTCCCATCTTTCTCTTTGAGTTCACATGCCAACCTAACCTTGTCTCAAGAATTTTCCTTTCTAACCAGCAGTTAGAAACTGGCACAGTCCTTGGACCTAGTTTAGGAAGTCTTTTGCTAAATGTGATTATGATCACTCTTCCATTTATTGAGTAATTTCACTGCTTAAATTTTTCTGGACTGTGTGGAAATGATACAGGGGAATGAAACTCCCAACCTACTATGTGTGGTGCGAGTTCCTATTGCTTCCAAGATTTAGCTAGTATGAGTTGTTTCTATAAATACAGGTATGCATGTATCACTGTAAGATGATGTGTTTAACTCTTTTTGGGGAGATAGCAAGAGGAAAGAGCTGGGTTAAATGGAATTTTTAGTTTTGATTTTTTGAGGAATCTCTGTACTGATTTCTATAATGAATGTCCTAGTTTGCATTTCCACCAGCAATCAGAAGGGTTTTTGATCCCAGCAGCTGCCTCAGTAGCATTATTATTTGATTTTGTGGCGATAACCATTCTTTCTGGGGTAAGGTGGAATTTCAGTGTTGTTTTACTTGGCATTTTTCTAATGGTTAGAGTTGTTGCACGTTGTCTAACGTGTTTATTTGTGCTATTTCTGTGAAGTGTGTATTCATTTCACTGGCCTGTTTTTCAACTGTGCTTTATTTTGAGGGGTCTACTTATTTTGAATTCTTTATATATTCTAAATATTAATCTTCTGCCCAGGTGGAGTAACTGGCAAATTGTTTTTCCCTTTGCTTAGGTTGTTTTTTTATTCTGTTGGTTGTTTTCTTCGCTGGGTGAAAACTTTTTGATCTGATATAATTCCATTTATTGATTCTTAGTGCTATATCTTGTGAAGTTTGTATTCTGTTCAGAAAATCCTATCCTTAAAGAGTTTTACCTATTTTATCTCTCAGCAGATTGTTTCTATTTTAACATTTAGATTCTTGATCCATTTTGATTTTAGTTTAGTACATGGTAGGAAATATGGTGAGAAATATCTAGATTTAATCTTCTGCATTGACAGCCAGTTTTCTAGCACCATTTGTTAAAGAGGCTGTCTTTTCCTCCAGCATGTTTTTGGTCCCTTTGTCAAAGACCTAACCACTGAATGTGTGTGGGGTTATTTGTGTATCCTTTATTCTGTTTCATTGATATATATCCATTTTGTGCCAATACCATGCTGTTTTTAGTCACTGTAGCTTTGTAATATTACTTCAGGTCTTGGAATGTGATGCCTCTGCTTTCTTACTGCTCAAGATTGCTTGTGCTATTCTAAGTCTCTTTTATTTTAAGATTGTCTTCTCTAGTTGTGAGGAATATATTAGTATTTAATTGGAATTACATAAAGTCTGTTTGTCAGTTTGGCAGTGTGGCCGTTATGACTACTGGTTCTGCCTATGTAGAACTTGACATCATTTTCTGATGTCCTCTTTAATCGGTCTTTTACTTCCTTAGTTAGGTTTAGTTTGTAAGTGTTTAATTTTTCTTGGTACTACTGTAAATAATATTGTTTTTGAAATTTCTGTATGAGATCATTATTGGTATATACAGTGTTATTTATTTTTGTGTTGATTTTGTATCCTGCCACATTATTGAATTTGGTTATTAATTCTAGGGATGTTTTGGTGAGATTTTTGGTCTTCTTTGTAGGAGAGCATGTCTTCTGCGAACGATTAGTTCGAAGTATTCCTTTCCTATATAAATCCTTTTTATTTCTACAGTCTGGTGTTGGTCTGCTTGCTTGCCTCAGGGGACACTGTGGTCTGTCATGGACTTACCTATGTTGGAGTCCTATTGTCTGGTTTTTAATCTTTTGTTATTTTGAATAATTTAGCCTCTGTATCTTTTGATTTCCTCCCCTTGCTGACCCATGCATTGGCATTGGGAGTTTTTGGAGAGGTTTTTGTTGCCTTGTCTTTTCATGTTTCTAATTTTTGTTGCTATTTTCTTTTCTTTAAGGTTTGTTTCTTTTGTGTGCATGGGCTAAAATTTATGGGCACTTGTAGTGGAAAGATTTTGTTGTTAGAATGGAGATCTCTTTAGTTCGTATCGACTTTTCATTGATGCACTCTGTGACAGCCTTTGTGTTTGTCCCAAGATTTGACTATCTCCATTAATTTGATAGTGGAGGATTCAGTGTAATTTGCCTAGCACTCAGTTAATCCAGGAATGAATCAGTGTGATACATAGGCAGTTCTAATACTGACATACAGAGAAAACCTGTGCCACCCTGGTACCAGTGTCTAAATCAGCGATCCACAATATGAAAACAGACTGAATATTGCCCTATCATAAGAACCAAGCACATATCATTCTTAATCATAGAAAAGACTTTAGTATAAGCAGTGAGACAAATCCATTGTTGATATACAATAAATAACTACTAAATGTATCAACTCTACCCCTACTAACAATAGGAAAAAATTCAAGAGTAAAATAAAAGCATAGAATTAACTACTAAAGATTAATAAAGCTTAATGGTTATACCAATAAATATAAGGACTAGGTAAGGAATAGGAGAATTAAAAAATAAAATTTGAAAAATTAATCAAAAGATGAGAAGGAGGAAAAAAAATTGTGCTAATGGATTATCAAGGAGTAAAATAAAATTAATAGAATTAAATGAAGAACAGAAAAGAACAAAGAAAAAAAATTTTTAAAGAGAAAGGAAAAGAAACCTAATCCCTAAAACAGCAATGAATAAGAAAGAAAAAAATGAGTCAAAAAATTCTATAGTAATTTTGAATGGGTCATGTGTTGTTGTCATTTTGGCCTGTTTATGTGTGTCCTCACCCTGCAGCTTTATAATCCAGCAACATCTGCCTAAGTTTACAGCCTGTGGATTTGTGAGGTGCTCCAGAGCTCCTCTGTGAGTCATCCAGGCTTTGGCTTTCCATCCACGCTAAAGTGTGCCCTTGCTCACATTAGCAGTTGGGGAAAACAGGCCTTTTCTTTGTGCCCAATGTAAGCAGCAGGTTAAAGCAGACTACTCTACTTTATTCCAGCTGTTTCAAACACAACCACCAGTGAAAGCCATACAAGACTGGGCCTGACTTCTCACCACAGAGGGCAGAGCAGTGATTTTCCTGACTTGAGTTTAAATTTCTTAAGGGTTCTTTGACTAGCCTTCACCCTCTGAAACTGTCTCCTGTTGCTGCCTCTCTTTCTGAGGATAATACTGAAAACCCTGACCGAGGTTGTTTTGTAGTTCTGCAGCTCTGTCTCCCTCCTGAAATGTGCCTGATTAAACCTTCTCTGCTAATATTGTGGGTTCTGCTCTTGACAGCTTCTTCAAATAGCCTGTCCTGTGAATGAAGTCATTTTCAAAGTAAAACTCCACTCTGTTTTTGCTGTTTATAATAGCTGTGGGCTTTTCGTGGGGCTAGTGCTACTGGTCCTGTCTATATTTGTTTCTTAGACCGCCCAACTCTGGGAACTTGACCTTGTATTTGCTGAGTAGGTTCCTCTCTTCAGAGCTTGAGTGAGCTTCCACAGTGTTTCATTTTTTTTCCGCATCGTGCTGTGTTTCTCTAGCTTTTCTGTATTTCTAATTTTCCTCTCAGTTTCCTGTCAGTTCCCAGAGATACACTTTTTCTTTTCCTTCTTCACCAAGTTGTAATTTTCCAGGTTTCTGGATCCCAGGTCCCGGTGAAGCAATATTTTGCTGCTGATCACTACTTTGATATTTTTATTCCTCTACTTTCTTTTTTTATGTACTCAGTTTTCAAAATATAGTGTGTATTTTATACCTACAGTGCAGCTCAATTTGTACTGGCCTTGTATCAAAGTGTTTAATACCTATATGTAGTCAATGGCTACCATATTATAGAGTCCTTTTTGAGGTATTTTGTAGAATGCAATGTGACTTGCAAATACTACCAGTTAAACACTCTGTGATAAAGTATTTTAGATGTATTATAAAAACTTAAATGACTGAAGAAATTTACTAAAGAGAAATAAAAGTGTATTATAAAACTTAAATGATTGAAGAAATTTTACTAAAAAGAAATAACAAAGTGCTTAGTTATACAATTTCAAGAAAATTGTTTAAATACAAGCAGCACTTTTATTTCACAGTGTTGTACAATTTTTTGTGATGGAAAGAGAGCAGATGTAAAATGAGAAAGAACAATATGATTTTTTTCCCTTAGGTTTTGTTTATGTTATTTTTAAGGCAAGAAGACGTTAACATGCAGTTTGCATGTGAGGGATCAAATTAATAATTTTATTATGGGTAATGTGTGTGCACCACTGGGCTTAGTGTTTAATATTTTGAAAATAAAAATGATGTGACTGATTCTGTTTGTGAATTTAATTTTATGTATTATATATTACTGCATTTGCCTGGATATTGCATGTTGATGTTTTGTTTTCTAATTATTTTTATTCTTGCAGGCTGCTGAATCAGGAATAATAAAAGTTAAAACAATAGCTGCAAGAAACACTGAAATTTTGGCAGGTAATTTTTTGCATTACTTCAATAATTAATGAAAAATTGATTAGTAGTAAAAATACAGTCTTTATGCCATCAAGTTTTTGATTCATTTCTTTCTCATATCCTAATGTTTTCTTTAATGGTACAGAACATGCAAATGTCCCTATATTGGGAACTGTTTCCCAGAGGTTAGAGCTGTAAACTTCTCTGAAATCAGTAGTTTAAAACTTTTAGTTCCTTACAGTCTGGAAGTTTTTCCTTACTCATCTTTTCTTCCACCTAAGACACACCTTATTCATAAAAGTCATTCAATTAATATTTGTTATATGAAATTGGATGAAAGATTGAGTCTTAGTTAATCTTTCAAGATCTTTTGTATCCTTAAAATATAAATAGTTTGCAATGTGTTGCATATTTAGTGCTAATGTGAGCTTTGAGTTCTGGGTGAAGAATGAATGAATAAGGTAGAGAAAAGGAAATCATTTTTTTAAAATAATTTTTTGAAAAATTTCTTTTGATTGAATTCAATTTTCAAGGAGAAATTGTTGAGCTTCTTTTTCAGTTTCTTCCCCCACCCTCTTACTTCTTTTTTCTTCTTTGGTACTTTCTGATCTTGCCTCGATAATGAACATGGAAATGATGATAACTTTTTTGTTTTCTTTTCTTTTTTGAGACTGTTATATGTGAGATACTTGTACCATTCTATCTTGTAGAAAACTATCTTGTGGGAAATATTATCTTATATTTATAGTAGACCAAATTGAGATACAAAGAGATTAAGTTACTTTTCTAAGTCACATGATAAGCAATGGAGCCAGATTCAAAGGCAGGTGTGTTGAGAGCCAGTGTTCTTCCTCCTGCAGTGTGCTGCCTTGCTATTGCAAAGTTTGTGTGCTTGTTAGGCCCTCCCATATTTCATACTTAACTATTGCTTACTCCATTGATCTTTCAGTCTGTATTTACAGTGCCGGTAGTGCCTTTGCTTTCAGCCAGTATAGCAGAAAAGAAGTCAATTTACACAAAATCTAAATAGTAAAGAATTTCACTCTTTCAGATTTTACACTTAAAAAGAATACCAATAAACTCCTAATTTGTGAGATTTTGGAGTGTTACAGAAAGTTTTTTTGAGAAGGGTATAGTTTAAGGATTGGAGGCTACTAGGTTTGTTGGAAATTTACCTTTAGGGTTAGTTCTTCTAAATTGCATCCATCTCACAGCTTCTTCCCTGATTTTAAACAGTCAATCAAAAGCACCAAATAGTTTTGTAACCTTAGTCACAGCAGTGAATAATGCTCTGTGTGCATATTTAGGAATGTAGTGAACGTGATGGGTAAAGACAAAGGTACATATGGTTGGAAGAATGAGCAGATACTATATTTTGGGAGATGCATGTTGGGTCGGTTAACTACTGTGAAGAAATAGTTTTTAAAGATAACTTATGACCTGGATACTTTTAAGTTGGAGACATATAGGCCAATCATATTAGAATATCATTGTAAATATTTACATTTGCTACTATCATTGCTGATATCATGGTAAATCCTTACTCTCTTAAATTGAAGTTTTATTGGTTTTATAGTTGATGGAAAATATAAGACTGATTTCTTCTAAAGATCACTGTTCTATATAAATAAAATATCTAGTTAATCTTAAGGAAAAGTAAGAAATTTTGGATTAGGTAGTTGGAGTTTAAAAAAATAGACTTGCAATTTTAATTTGTTTTATTCATATCAATTCACAACATGTTTTTACACATGTACAGTAATTAATGTGTTAATCTCCAGACCCATGTACATGAGGGAGATACTCACATTTAATCTTTATTGTATTACTTTTAAACAAGTATTTATAGCATTGATAATCTAAAGGATATCGATTAATAGATTGTTTGAAAATCAAAGGCTTTTAAAAACAAATGATTCAAGTTATTTATTATATAGTTTTTAAATTACATGATTTATTCAGAGCACAGTGAATACTGAGAAAAAATTTTTACTTAACTATTTCTTGAGAAGTATTTACTTTTTTGATGCTACTGGGGATTGAGCCCAGAGGGTGCTGTACTAGTGAGCTACATCACCAGCCTTTTATTACAGTTTTCTTATTTTGAGAAAGAGTGTTGCTAAGTTGCTCAAGTGGGACTTGAATTTGAGTTCTTCTTGCATCAGCTTCCCCAATTACTAGGATTGAAGGTATGCACTACTAGGTTCAGTTTATTTACTTCTTTATAATACTTGAAACTATAGGGTACTTTGGTTTTTTTTTTTTTTTTGAAACGGGCTTGCTAGGTAATTTAGGCTATCTTTGAACTTACTATGTAGTCCAAGTTGGATTTGAACTCACGGCAACCTTCCTGCCTCATCCTCCTAAATGCTAAGATTCTAGGTGTATGCCACCACACCTAGCTTGTTTTTTGTGGTATAATTAATATCAAAGATCCCCCCAAAATTGTGATGTCTCAAATGAGATGTGACATTGAATTCCAATGTTTTGGTATATTCAGAACATATAAAGAGTTGCTGCAAAAATCAGAATCCTTAGAGTCATCTAATTAATGATATTCAGCATAGATTTTTAGTCAACTTAGGTTTCTTACATTTATGTTACATGGGAAAATCATTTACATTGCAGCATAAATTTTTGCTTTATGTTACCCCTTCTTCTAAGCATCCTCCTTTAATGTTTATTTTTCTTTGTTTTCACTGCTGTCATGAATGCTGACATAAGTGGAAATGCTATGCCAGGTAATGTCAGCATCGATTCAGACATAAAAATTGTTACCTAAAAGTTTCCATTTTCTTTAATGAGAAAACTCTGTAAATGAGTGAAAACAACATAGTTTTTTATTTACAAAGCCAAATGCCTTAAAACTTACACTTAACTGCTATATATTATAAATTCTTACTATCCTAGCTTAGAGTATACTAGAAATTGAGAAGGTATGTGCCATAGAAAAATTACATAACCTACTTTTAAAATGTATATTCATAATAAAGATACCAACAATGTTATAATGTTTTAAAGTTGTACATTTAACCCCTACTTAAAACCATAGTTTTAACCAACAGTTAAATATACTCATGGCTGCTTTCAGCTACTATTAGTATACATACAGGATTTTGACATACCTTTTAGTTTTTTAATGTAGGGTCTTTTCATTTTTAAATACTCTAAATTTTCTGAATTCTTTCATTGCTTTAAATTTAGGATACCCCTCTTCTACATAGTTTATAGTGTTTGGGTTTTTTGTTTGTTTGTTTCCTATGGCTTTTTAAAATAATATACAGAGTGGTATGAAGATCTAGTGTTCTTTTCCTTTGCAGAACTTCATTGTACCAACATCATTTGTAGAATAATCATTTTCTTTTCTTCTGGGTGCTTTTCATAAGAAATTGGCTTTACTTTTATTTGTTTCTTTTTCTTGAATTACTTGAATATATTTTTGGTCCTTCTGAGCCCATTAAATTTTTTAAATACTGTTAGAAATGGTAGTCTGTCCCAGAACTAGAATTTAGGCATTTTGAAGATAGAAGTAATGTCTAAATCACATTTATTTCTTTCATAAGATTTAAAATTTTTTATTTAATACTTGTTAAAATTAATCACATTGAAACTTTTATTAATCCCTGTTAGTGTGATTTATAGTGGGGTATCCTAGTTAAATTCTTTTTTTTCAGGATAAAAACTGCAATTATGCAGTGAAAATACTCAGAGCAAGGAAACCCCTAGGATATGGGGACCTGTTGGATCTCTTCCAGGTGTGTGAAAGTGCATCATTTAATCTCAAAATTACGTAATTTGGAAATACAGCATATATCAAACACAGTGTTACTCTGTTAAAGAGTTATGCTTCTTAAGAGACTTAGGTGGAAAGTAAACTCTTTCTCTTCTTCCCACCAAAGCCTATTCTTGTATTTTTATGGATACTGAATTAGAGAATTTAGATTTTTTTAAAAAATCAAACTTTTGTATTTTTTCTGGAATAACATATAAAATGGTTAATGCCAGATGTCTTTACATTTTTGTGTAGTATTTTCCTCAACACTTTTTTGAAATCTCTTTTCCTATGAAGACATTTGCATAAGACTACACTTTAATAGCCTATCATTATAGTTATTGTATATAGAGGCAGTATATGTTGTACTCAAAAGCTTCAGATTAATTTTAGTTTCCTGAGCACTTTTACATTTGAAAGAAGAAAAGCAGATCAGTAAACTTTTTCTTCTTCTGATCTTTCTTTTGCTGAGTTGTTTTTCTTTTTGAAACTGTGCTTCAAAAGATGTAGAATACATACATCAATTATTGGTATTATCTATTAGGATAACAAAAAAAATCTTCCTTTGATCCTTATATTCTCCTATAAATTGGAAGTAGAGATACATGTTTGATTCCTTTATATAATATAAAAATGTTAAAAATTATTACTACTTTAAATTTATCTCACCATGACAGACCTAACTATATAGGACATGCATACAAAATTTCACTATGATGCACCTGATTTGTTGATCTAAGATACACAGGTTTTTCAGCTGTAGTATTCCCTACAATGGCATGCATCTTAAAATTGATGTCCTCTTGAAATCATTAGGGCCTGATTAGGGATGTAGTTTTCTTTCTTCGTATGTGTGTGTGAATTAGTTCATTCTTAATCATGTTATTATAATTTCTGTTGAGTTATGCGCATTTGTTGTGGCCACTTATATACATCTTAATTGCTATTTAAAGTGTCACATTAGTTGTCAAAACTTTGTTAACATAAGGTCAGAAAACATACCAGTGTCAAAAAACGCAGAATGGTTGTCATTGGTTTAGAAGAAAATCTCAGAAACAATGGTGAAGTACTCTTTCAAGAAATAAGATATTCCCAAGCTCTTGATGATATAGATATTGAAATTGTAAAGAAAAATTCTAAACAATGAGATGATATTCTCATTGTTTAATTCACATTGATTTTCTTTATGATATTACAAGTGTATCTTGAAATCATTGGCCTCTTATACTCTTATGAAAATACATTGTTTTTTGTGACCCTTTATCTGAAGAGTTTAGACAGATAGTTTTAAAATGCAGATAACGGAGCCCTCTTAATTTTCATTATCATCAGGATGCTATTTAAAGAGTGCATTTAATGTGGGGATAATCGTGAACAAGTAATTAGAAGACAGTATCTTCGAATTATGGTTTTACCACCTATCTATTGAGTCACTTGGGCCAAATTATGCCTTATAGACTGTAAGAATATTGTGATGCTTAAATGAGAAACACATGCTAATGTCAAAAATTCAAAATGTACCTTGTTATTATTGAAAAAAATTTTTTTATTATTGAAAAATTTTAATTTGCCTGAAATTGAATAAGAGTGTCAGCAGAGATGGATGTGGATAGCCTTAGACTGCATATTTAACACTTTATTAAAACTTTATGATTGACTTTACAGTGACATTTAATCATTCCTAGTAATGTTTTGAGTCATTGTTATGGAAAATTTATATCTTTGGGTTTGAGTTAAAACTTTTATGCAAAGAAAGCAAGGGAATAAGGAGAGGGAGCTCTTTTGGAGAAGCTGTTGTCAGTCCTGTTTGCCATACCTTAGCTGTTGACACGGTAAGTTATGCTGACTTAGTGAAGAATTTTGTAGAGCATGCTCTAGGAAATTGGTGTCTTAATTTACCATACCATAAAGAGAACTTTGGGAGAAGAAACATAGGATTGAAACAATAAAACTAACGCAGTTTTGCCTTTTAATGGTCATTCTGGATGACTCAGTTTCTTTTGAAAAACTCTGTGTCTTTATGACTTTTGCCCCTTTAAAATTTCTCAGAGAATTAACTTCGTAAAAGGAGTTTGAGGTTTGGAATTACGTCATGTATGTCCAGTTAAGAAAAGAAAGGCTATTGTTTTAAAGGAGATTTGTTTATTTCTTGAAGAAGAAATTAAAACTATTTAAATTCAAGGCCTGTAATGAAATTATAGGAAGTTTCTGAATATTCATTCACAAGTATGGTAAGGATGACATACATACTATTTGTAATTACTCTTTCTGATCTAGAGTATGAATTCCTATTTATTTTCCCTCCAGCTTTATGTGAAGAAATAGATTTTTCCCTGAACTGTTGGGAATACATATCCTTAAAAAGCTTATAGCAAAAGATAAGGAAGAAACAAATATTAGGATGGAAGCATGAGAAAGCTTTAGTAAATGAGTGTAGTTAGATCACAGTGTACACTATATGTTGACTGTGTTTTAACTCCTATTACCTGATTTTTATTGTTATTTATTTTACATAAAGTAGTTATCATCACTGGTTGTGATTATATGAAATGTACTTCTGATTATGAATTAAATGTGGAAACTTATCTTCCATGTGTTCTAAATAAAGCCTTGAAGGAAAACAGCTCAGAGGTTGTACAGCCTTTTCTAATGGGTTGTGGAACCAAGGAACCGAAGATTACTCAGCTATGTCTGGCTGCCATCCAGAGACTCATGTCACATGAAGTTGTGTCTGAGGTAATACGAAGATTTTATCTAAACTGCGTGTAGGAGTCAGATCAGAAGATTTCCAGGGAAGAATGAAACATAACCGATATTTAATGTGAAATAGTCTTATGAATATTAAATACACTGGAAAATAATTTTAAAATATTAGTTATATCATGTACAAGTACAAATTCTCTATGATGAAGGGGATTATTATGTAAATATAAAATGTACCAGTAAAATCTGATTAAAAAGTAAAATGAATGACTTGGAAAAAATATTGTCAGCTTTTCTTATTTTAGAACACTCAAATTAAGATAAAAATATTTTGTCAGGTCATTTGTTATCTTAGAAGTTACAGTTTATTAATAAAATAAGTTTAGAATTAAGCCAGTTTTCAGTATTATTCAGTAGTTAATACAACTTATAATATTTTTAAAATATAGGTGAAAAATAAGGGCATTTTTAGATGATCAACACTGATGATATGTTGCTCATTAATATAAATGTTTGTGTCTAATCTGATGATGGAAAACAAGAAAAAAGATTTCATTACCTTGAACCTACATCTTGCTTATAAAATTAATGGTTTTACCTTAATACTATTACACAAATGGCCAGTTATTTTGCCCTTTATTAGTTAGCAGCCTAAATAATGTTAGTTTTAATTGAATATACAATATTGTTAATTTGGGTTGTTTTTTATGTTTTTAACATACAAATAAAGTAATATATAAGAAACAGTAGACTAATAGTTTGTATATATCCATAATACTTATTTCCAAATGAAGAAAAACCTGTTACTGTAGAAATGAGCTTTGATTTGTGGCTGGGTATTTTAGAACTGCGTGCTACTATTTGCTATATTTTTAAAGAAACTTAACTTTTTCAAAAAGAAAATTAATTGATTGTAAGTCTCAAATTAGTTGAGATGTGTGTGAATCTGTGGATCTTAAAATACATGTTTTGTTTTTGCCAAAATCAAGAAATTCCCTCTTAAGTGAGGCAAGGTTTGTTATTGGGAAGCTTTTGTATTGGGAACCTCCACACCTATGTTTTATTTATTGATGATTATTAAAATTATTTTACAGACTGCTGCTGGGAATATAATTAACATGCTTTGGCAGCTAATGGAAAATAGTCTTGAAGAACTTAAGCTACTTCAAACAGTTCTTGTTCTTTTAACAACCAATACAGTAGTTCATGATGAGGCACTTTCTAAGGTAGGCATTCATTCATCCATCAGAGTTCATAAATGGTTTTCAAAAGTATTTGAATAAGCTGGTTGAAAGAGAAAAGCCTGATGTTCTAGAACTAAACCCAACTTCCCTGTAGCCATTGTGACAGTAAGTGCCTCATTTTAATGGCCATTGGTACCTACCTTTCTCTAGATGAGAGTTAAAATAATTTTCAGAGCCCAGTGGGTATTGTTGATGGATTAGTATTAATAGGAATTAGGAAACATAAGAGAAAAGGTGTGAAAGAATCAGAATGATGGAAAAGGGAAAATGTGTTGTATGGTATTGTGTTGGATTGTTTAGATTCTCTGTGACAGCTCTCTCTTCTCTTTTTAAAGTAATTTCATACATATATATTATGTAAACCAACTAGCTCAAATTGGTCTCAAGTGGTAGCAAAGTCTTCTTTCAGCATTTTTACTGGGTAAAGCTGCACTTATGATAGCTATTTCATTCTTTTTCACTCATTCCAACCTTTTTGCAACATGTAACAGTTTTATTTATTCACATCTATAAAATTTTTTAATTACTAAGTATCCTTAAAGAACAGAAAAGAAAGAATAGTTTAGGGAATAGTCCCAGTGATTTACAGTAAGGGATGTTTTGGATGTTCAGTAATAGTTTTATTATAATTCGCATGCTTTTAAGGATGGATAGCCTTTAAAATAGAGACGTATACTGTCACATTAAACTGTATATTGTCTCAAGTAATATGTCTGACTTTCAAGTTTATTTGATCTAAGATTAATAAAATTTACTTAATCACAAATAGTTTATTCTTTTAAGCTTATATCTGCTATATACAATGTTTAAGTATTTTTGTAAAGTATATACAATTATATACAGTTTTTCTTGGGTTCTCACTATTAAATTATTCTGATATGAGTATTTAAGATTCGATAAATGATTATTAGTTTATCTACTATAGAAATAAAAATTGACTGTAGGATTTATTTTAGTATGTTATGTAATTGAAATCTAAATAATTGAGGATGAAAATCAAATATAAAGAAATTATACAACTAGGCATAGTGGCCCATACCTATAATCCCAGCACTCAGGCAGGAGGATCTCAGCAAGTTCAAGGCCAGCCTGAATTACAGGGTGAGCCCTTCTCAACAAACAAATAAGTAAAACCAAAACTGAGCATTATACATGTTTATATATAACTGTTGAATGTCCCTTTCCTTTATATTGAAATATTATGAATAGTAGTTGTATCAAAGGCTTATTTCTTTTAAATTTTTTAGTTAAAATTATAAGGCATTATAATCTAAACTATCAAGAACAGCTTATTTTCAAACTAAACAGTTGTTAGAACATATAGGAGAAAATCTTTGTGATGTTGAGACTACAAAATATGCAAATTGTGAAAGAAACCACAGAATGGGGGGAAATATTCATAAGTATTTGACAAAGAACATACATTCGAACTATATAAAGAACTGTTATAATTATTTTATAGGAATACAACTAAGTAAGAAATGAACAAATTATTTCAACAGCTACTTCACGAAATATTCAAATGTGAACAAATACATGAAAAGCTCACTGTGAAAACGTATCAGTGAAATGTAAATTCAGACCACAGGAGTTATTGTTACATACCCGTTAGAATAACTAAAACTTAAAAAGACAGACCATATCAAGTATCATGAAGGATATAAATAGTTCTGAATTCATATATACTACTGACAGGAGGGTCAAATTGTAAAGTTACTTTGAGAAACTGATAGTTTTTTAGAAAGTCAAACCCATATTATTATGTTTCCTGGCCATTTTACTCCTGGATGTTTACTCGGTGTAAATGAAAATGTATGTACTTGCAGAGACATGTATAGCAGCTTCATTCACAATCAAAACGTGAAAAGTACCCAAATGTCTATTAGTAGGTGAACAAATAAGCAAAATGTGGTATACTCGTACCATGGAATCTATCAGTAATAAAAAAGATACAAATTACTGATCGAATAATAGATGAACTTCACAAATGTTATGCTAAGTGAAAGAAGACAGACACAGAAAATGCATACTGAATGAATTTGTTGATATACAGTGGTGCAAAACACTGCTGAAGGAAGAGACATGCTAATAAATGACCCCAAGGAAACTTTTGGGGTGATGGAGACATCCTGTGTTGTATTTGTTGCTTGTATTTTCATGGTCCAATGTATTAGTCAGAATTCATCACATTATATGCTTGTAAAGATACAGTGTGTTTTATGCAAATTTTAAGTTGAATTTAAGGAGAAAAATGAATGGCTCCTGTTATATAGTAGCATTTTATTTATATGCTTAGCAATTTATATAGCATTGCTCCAAATGATTTAGTGTTATAATGGATTTTGACTACTTGCTATTTGCAAAGCAAGGCATTCAGGAAAAGTAAAAGCTTGATACAACATTCTATACATATTAAAAAATAATTTGAAAGACGTTCCATGTTATGTAAGCTAATCTTATGTAGCTAAATATTTGCTGAGAGTGAATTATTGTAAAATCTGAGCAATTTTGTAGCTGTATTATATAAAAACGTGCGACTTTTAATGCTCTGAAAGAATTAAATGTAATCATTTAAGTGTAGGTTTTATCTGATAAAAATAATAGTAGCCATGTGCCTCAATTTTATTTCACACTAAATGAAAACTTTTTTTAGGCAATCGTCCTTTGTTTTCGATTACACTTCACAAAAGATAATATTACAAATAACACAGCTGCTGCAACAGTGCGACAAGTTGTTACTGTTGTTTTTGAGAGAATGGTTGCTGAAGATGAACGCCACAAAGGTGACGTGTAAAAATGATTTCATTTTGATTGTGAATGATTCTTACATGTATGATTTCATTTTTATTAATTTTTAGCCTTTGCCCTATCAATTTAGAATATCCAAGAATTAGGCAACTTTAAAAATGTTAAAACAATATCATTGTATTAATAGTGGGAATTGTTTTTAAGTCACAATTTTATCATTTTAAAAAGTAACTCTTCATTTCCATGTTTATGTTTTCATATGCATAATTTTCTGTTGAAGATGATAATTTCACATTTTAGCCAAACAGTACATTCTGTGAATTTTTGTCATTTCCATTACCCACATAATTTGAATTTTAGTAGTTGCATTATATTTTGACTAGTCAGTAATTTATTGAATAGGTCTGTTGGACTCTTATGTGGTATTTGATATTTTAAACTATCTGAATGACTTCCTGAATATATTTTTTCACTGTTTGAATAAGTGACGTTATAAAGAGTAATCTTTTTATATTTTTAGCAAATACCTTTATGATAAATTTTTTTTTTTGTCTTTTTCCTTTTCCCTTTTTTATCGGTACTAGGGATCGAACTCCCGACCACACACTTGCAAGGCAGGCACTTATGCCACTAAGCTAAATTCCCAGCCCCTATGATAATTTTTAAAACTTTTTACACTAATTGTCTTTTCAGAGAACTGACAGATTTACCATTCTGACATGTTATAATTTCAATAACTTCTTAACTTTTCATTGCTGTAGAAATTATTTTTTTTCAGGTTTTATCTTTATTTGATGAAAAGTAACTTTTTTTCTCATGATCCTTTGAAAACATCACAAGATGCTATAATGTTGAGCAATCTCTTTTATGTAGTCAAGAAAAAATATTTAACTATTTTTTCCCTCACATTTTCTTTTTTAAAAACTCCTTGATATTATAAGTCTTTTAAGTTTGATGTTCTTTGGCCATACTATAAAAATTGGCAGTAGTATTAGGTATTGGATTTGGGCCTAGTCAAATAATTACTTTTATTGAAATTGAACATTGGTCAGATTTGGTACATGATTTTTCTATATTTGTCTTGAAGAAAATTGTAAGTGGAATTTTAATAATTTGAAATATTAAGGAATCAATCTTATGGATTACCACCTTTTGTTAAAATATTCAAAATTATGTAAAACTGGACAATTCTTTATTTTGAATGTCTTATGTATTCATAACCTCAGTATAATTCTGGGTTGGTGATTTTAGCTATGTGTCTCTAAAGTCTAATAATATACCATTAAATACTATCAAATAAGATTTCAAAAAACCTAGAATCTTTTCCAAAAAAGGCATTAAATCAGTAATTATTCAAAACCAGTTGTCATAGTTTATAATGTTATATTTTTTATTAGTAATGAAAAACACTCATTAAAAAAATTCCTATTAGGAATGGGAAACACCATTCTAGCTGACTTTTAGCTAGTGAGTATTTATGACTGACATTAAGATGGTAGATCAAGCAGTTAATTCTTCTGTGGATAGTAAGATGGTAGAGGAATTAATAATGTGATAAACTTGTGTATATATATATATATATATATTTGATATTCAAATATCATGTCATTTTCATATCCATGAGATAAAGGAGTTGATGAATGGGAGAAATCAAATTATTAGATAAAGACACTCTAAGCTTATTAAAATGAATATGACATTGAATAGTGATTTTTATGGCATTTGTATAAAAATAGATTCTCATTTATTGTTTCATTTTGAAGGTATAGTTCTGAAATTATAAGGTTTATAATTAAACAAGTATTTATTTTAACCTTAGCTTTTAAATAGAATATATGATTTATTAAAGGCCATTATTAACTATAAAGCTTATCCCCTTTTGATTCTAGATAATATAGAACAACCAGTACTGGTCCAAGGAAATAGTAACAGGAGATCTGTTAGCACCCTCAAGCCATGTGCTAAAGATGCATATATGCTCTTCCAGGTACTTCAGTTAACAAAAGTAGCTTTGTTACAGTTTTGTGTGAATTTTTGATTTAAAAATTTAATTCTTATTATTTATTAAATTTTTATTTTGAATTTTTGATTTAATTTTTAATGTAGAATTAAAAATGTAGAAGCAATATATAAATATGAAAGATTAAAGAACAACTTCTGTATTTTCTGTATACCTAATTAATATGATAAAGTATTATTTATTACTTTGAGAGATCATCTGTTTATATTTTGTCAATAGTTACATGTTTTATAAAAGTTTATATGTATCTATCAAATATACAATTTGATATACTGATGTTTCTAATGAAAATTTCCTTTTAAGTGCATGAACTGAATTTTGAAAAGTGTATTCCATTGTAGCACATGAAATTATTTATTTTCTAGGACCTTTGTCAGTTGGTTAACGCTGATGCCCCTTACTGGCTAGTGGGGATGACGGAAATGACTCGGACATTTGGCCTCGAATTGCTTGAGTCAGTCCTCAATGATTTTCCACAAGTCTTTTTACATGTAAGCCATCAATACTGTCCTGTAACAAAATTGATCTTTAATTTTTTTCACAAATATTTTTTAAGAAAACAACATGTATTTTTTCCCACATTAAAAGATGTAAAGACAGCTTCAGAGTATAGATATATGATAATGTACTGTTTCTTTTATCATTTTTAGGACTGTAACATTTTGAAATTTTAACATTAGAAGAAATCCCTAAAGATTTTATCTGGTTAGGTATTTCCTAACAAATGAGTCTATCAGAGAAATGTATGTGAGCTCTTTTTATATCTAAAACCCTAAAAAAATTATAGATCTTTTAAACCTGTTTATATATTGTTATGTGGTTTTTTAGTTTTTTAGATAGAATCTTGTTCTTTGTTGCCCAGACTGACCTGTGAGTTCTAGATTCAGGTGATCCCCCTGCCTCAGCCTTCCCACTAACAGGACTATAGGCATGCAGCAATTCAGCAGGCAATAGCTGTGTGTTTTTTGATAGTGAAAAGTCATGGTTAATACTAGTAAATATAATGTATAATATAAAAAATCTTAAATAGAAAATAAGGGGGAAAGAATAATGAATTCAAACATTTCATTTTACTTGAAAAACTAAAGTCAGTAACCTCTATAAGCCCCTTAGTTATTGGCATATCTTGAACTATAATTCAGATCTTTTATTGTTTTAAGCAAGAAAATATTAAAAACAGGCTCCTGTGTAGGCTGCCTACATAGCATCTAGCTTTTTGCTTAAATAATGGTAGAAGAGGAGATGTGGGATGGGAGAAAGGTTTCAGTCAGTCAGTACTTGGTCACATGCATTTTGGAAGTTACTAGCTCCCATCAAATTAATTGAGTTGGTAGTGTCAGGTGGTCAGATATACTATTGCTCTTCTGTTTAAATGAAATGTAGGTCTTTCAGCAACCACCGTAACCCCTTCCCCTTTCACACAGTCTTCCTCTCTAATCCATTTTATCCTTTGTTCTCAGCCTACAGACTGTATAACTCAAGTGCTATAAGCTATAAGATCTTTTGGCCTGGGTGTTAGAGCTGAAGTTATTTTTATGTGGTTCATAATTTTTGGTACACATTAGGCAACTGTTAATTGCTTTTCATAATAATGAACAATATTTACTGGTGATTCCATTTTATACAACATGCAGTATTTAGGTATAACTTGTCCAACAGTCTTTTATGTGGAATGATAATAATAGAATAATCATATTCTCTTGAATTTTTCCAATGCCTAAAAAGTAGCAGTTATACCTACTTTATTCATGACAAAACTATGACTTACAGAAGGTTAAATAATATATCCAAGGTTGCATGGTTTGTTAAATGGCAGAGTTAGAATTTTTGAGTTTATGTTGCTATAAACTCAAAATTAGTTTCTCTTCTTAACCTTCATTATGATTCACATCCTATATACCAACCATTATCTTCAAAATATATCCAGGACCTAATCACCTCTTACCACTCACTGCTACCACAATTATAATCTGAGCCATCTTCACTTTTACCTGAATTATCTGATTAGCTTTCTAACTGATGTCCTTGTGATTATACTTGTTCTACCTCATTATAGTTATTTTGTCATACCACATTCAGAATGGTCTTTTAAAAGGAGACAGATCTCTTTAGTTCTTTGTAGAAGTGCTTCAATCAATATCTTTACTTAGAGTAAAAGATGAAGACTTATGAGATCCTACAACTTACTATGTAGTCTCCAGTAGTCCTGAATCTTTTCTTCCTTTACTTTTCTCCTTACCCATACCCTATGGCCACTTTATCTTTTATATTGTTCTTTAAATTGCATCAAGCAGACTCCTGCCTCACTGTCTATATACCTAATGTTTTCTAAGAACAAAACACTTTCCTTCTTTCTTTGCCCAGTTGTCAATTTAGAAGACAAATCTTCCCCAAGCACTGTGTATAAAGTGATCAGCTCTTATTATGCCAGCACCCTTATCTTTGTTACCTCTTTTTTACATAACACTTACCACTTCCTGATATATATATATATAATATTTATTGCAGATTTTTCATTCTCACAAAATCCCTCCATTATTATTCCTGCTGTAATGTAGGAAATAATCACTGTGTGTAAGATCCTTAAATTTATTTATTTATTTATTTATTTATTTATTTATTTATTTTTTGGTACCAGAGATCGAACTCATGACCTTACACTTCCCAGGTAGGCACTTCTGCTGCTGAGCTATATCCCCAACCCAAATCCTCAAATTTAATTCTGCAAAATTTTCATCCAGAGATAGATTTTAGGGTTTTTTTACTTAACATTTACACATTCAACCAAAATTTAGTGGTTGTTTATAGTACCTTGGTTATGTGTGTCTTGTAAGACTGGCAAAATCCTTGCTTTTACAAGATTAATTGAAGGAAAGATCCTAATTGAATAGGCTGCTATAGTACTGAGGAAATGAATAGATAAAGCTTTTAAAAACTATGTTTGTTCTTTGACATAGTGATACACAGTGTATTGTTAGTCTCCTTATTTTGTTAGGAAGTTTTGTTTTAGTTTTTTATTAAAAACTTTCTGTAAATGTATATATTAATATATAAAAATTATTTTTATGATATGTGAAAATGCACTTAACTATACCTTTAATTTTGGCAGTCAAACTAACTGCAGACGTTAGGGTAGAGTTTCAGATCACTTAACTGTTAATAGCTATTTTGAGGGGAAAGATTTAAAGTACATTAAAACATATATGAAAGGATGGAAGGGTATACACATCAGAAGTTAGCAATGACTAACTTATCTACAGAAGGTAAGATTAGGTAGGACTTTTTATTACTTACTGTGTTTTCTGATTTTTTATGTGTAAAAAATATTAAAACTTGTTTCTGAGCAAATTACTCTTGACTTACTTTCCTTTTAAGATTAAAGGATTAGATTGGATGATTTTTATATTTTTTGTGTTTAGCTTCAATGAAATTTAGATGATTAAAACAACAAAATAAAATATATTTAAAGTTAATTATTTAATGCACACTAAGTTTTCTCTTGTCAGTAGAGTAAAATTGCTCTTAGGTAATATAGACAGGGAATTAACAGGTTAAGGAAGACATTTGTGCCTAATATACTAATATAGAATGACAATATCTATGAGATTTAAGAATTCTTTATAAAATTCCTCAACCTGTGAAATAATTAAGACTATTATGAATTTCACAATACTATAAGATATAAATATATGAACTTATAATTAAGTAAATTTATACTGACTAGTAGCAAGTCATATTTATTGTTGAGTCTGTGTTTTAAAGTACAAACTAAATTCTTTTTTTTTTTTTTTTTGCTTTACAAATAGCACCAGGAATTTAGCTTCCTCCTGAAAGAAAGGGTGTGTCCTCTTGTGATAAAGCTCTTTTCTCCAAATATAAAGTTCAGACAAGGATCCAGCACTTCATCTTCCCCAGCACCAGTTGAAAAACCATATTTTCCCATCTGCATGCGTTTGCTGAGAGTAGTATCTGTTCTGATTAAGCAGTTTTACAGTCTTTTGGTAAGTGCTAATTTCCATAAATGTTTATATATATAATATTTCTTTAGATAATGCTTTATCTATTAGTTTTTAAAATTTAATTCAGAACTTTAGGGTAGGGGGTTGTACTGGGAATCAAACTCAGGACCCAACATTTGAAAAGTAGGCAAGACGTAAAAGTGAAAATAATTAAGATATAGAAGTATCTGTAAGCCTGGGAAGTTGGGAGGAATAGAGAGATTTTTAAAAAGAGAGAAGCTGGAAATATAACTCAGAGGCATAAGTATCTGCCTGGCAAGTGCAAGGTCCTAAATACAGTGCCCTGTACTTTAAGGAAAAAAAAATAAAAGAAGTATATGAGCCAATGTAGTTGCTATAGTTCTGTTAAATAGTTGTTAGGCCATGTGGTAGTCAAAATATTCAGAAAGTTTTTATGGCTGTCACTGAGGCATCTGTGTACCACTTCCCCATTTATTCTCTAAGAATTGGCTAGGTTATCTGAAAAGGGCTTCTCTTCCTCTTTCTGGAATGTTGGCCTAACTATTGTAAATTGGGATAAGACAATAAGAAAACATTTCTCCTTTTTCTTGTTGTGTCATGGAAAAACATATTCTTATAGGGGAAGTACCAGATTCTATCCTATATCCCCAATCTCCCAAAGGAGTGTATGGTGGAGGTTAAATAAAAAGAGACAGAGTGTATGATTTTTAGGCTCCAGGAGGGTCAAAATCCTTTAATTAAGCTCGAGACTTTGAGGGTAAAGACAAAGGATTCTCAGATCAGTCCACTTATATAAGGATCAAGGACAAAGGGCAGAGAGACAGGAAAGTGCAGGCAATGGGCAGGACCTTGGGAGTCACTTCAAAGACATCTCCAAGTCATGAATCAAGCCAATTTAGTAGCACTGTCTTATCGTGAAGACATGGTAGAAATGAGACTGTAGGAGTAATCTTTGCAGCTGCAGGCTCTACCTTGTTAATTGGGTTGGAGCCAGGGGTTTACAGCTGTGGTCTTATCTTGCCCTTTGAGGCATCTCTGGCCTCACAGGCCTCTACAGGCCTCAGCCAGGACCAGTGATTTATAGAAGTTTGCTTACTATGAATCAGTTCCTGTCGCCAGTCCAAAGCCTAGGACAGACTCACAGATAAACATAGAAAGCCAATTAGTAAAATTTAAATCCTGCTCAGAGCTGCTTCATAGTGGTCTCCAACAAAGTCCTCCAAGAAAAAAGTTAAATAGTTCATTACATAATTTTGTTTTTTCCAGACCTCCAGCATAATTTTGATACACAGCAAAAGCACTCCATGTATATTTCCCATTTTGTCATATTTAAATATCATTTCAAGAGTGAATTTTATAGTATGTATTTTTATAACTAAAACATATAAAAATGTAAGCAACATAGTAAAAGTGAAAATAATTAAGATATAGAAATACCTGTCAGCATGTAACCTCAAAAGGTATGGGGAGAGTATTAGAAGACTTGCTTAGAGTCAAGTTTAATAAAATCAACAATTTATACTGTATTTTACTTTTGCTATTGTTCTTAAGTAAATTTATATAGTGTATATGTGTACACTTTAATTGTAGGTGATAATGAAATATAAAATGGCACCAACACAGTTTGGTTTTATACTTTGATTTGTGCTATAACTTTGATTCCAAATATAACTATCTGTTATATCAACCATAGTGTTTGTAACATCAGGTCAAATGTCACTAGCTTGAAGATGAGAGACATAGTATTATTATAAAAATAATTTAGTGTTTGCTTAAGCAGCACATTGACTAAAAATAATTTTGATTTCATGGGAATGGTTTCAAGGGCCACTAAGAGGTCCAGCAGCCATACTTTGGGAAACATTGACCTAGAGAATCCTGTTCTCTCATTGGGGTATGCTGGTTTATCTCTGTCAGTAGCTCAGAGATAAGGATAACTAATATTCAAAAGTTTGTTGTGTTACTATTATCTAGAGTGACTAGAAGAAATTATTCAGGTAGATATACCTATTTTATTCTTTCCCATTTCTATTATCTGAGCTAGGTGTTTCTGTGCCCTCTGAATCACCTAGGATGGGTGCCCAGATATTAGCTTATTGCCTCTATTTCTTAATCAAGAAAAGAAAATAGAGAAAAGCTTTGTATTTTTCCTGAAGGGTAGAGTATACATCCTGTTTAGCAGTGTATCTGATACATGCTAAATGGCAATTTTCAGGAAAGAGGGGACCAGATGGTATACTGTGCTTTCTAAAAAATAAAAATAAAAGATTAACCATGTTATAGATCATGAGTGTTTTCAGGGATGTATTTAGAGTATTATTTTTACTGTTAACTATTCCTTATAATTAAGCTACTTATGGAAAACTACTCCCATTTTCTCCAGTCATTTTAAAAATTTATTTCAGGGGCTGGGGATTTAGCTCAGCAGCGTAAGCGCCTGCCTGGCAAGCGTGAGGTCATGAGTTCAATCCCTGGTACCAACACAAACAAACAAACAAATGAACAAAAGAATTTATTTCAAATCTAAAAGATTTTATTGGTTTGTCACTAAGTTAGTAGTAAGAATACAATTTATTATTTTCTTTGACTTAAGGAAATATAAAAAATCTCATCCTTTTTAGGTAACTGAGTGTGAGATATTTCTGTCACTTCTGGTGAAATTTCTGGATGCAGATAAGCCACAGTGGCTGCGAGCTGTTGCAGTAGAATCAATACACAGACTCTGTGTACAACCTCAGCTGTTAAGGTAAAACCTCAGTAGTATTTTGCTAACTGGATGGATTAAGAAACTGATAGGAAAAGTCATAGTTTAATAAACTAGTAGGAAGAGTTTTGATACTTATTCCCCCCAAAGTGTAATTTTTAAATAAAATTATATAGTATTTAGATGTGAAGGGTTGTGGCGGAGGTATACAAAAGAACTTAGAGGAGCAGAATGTAAATTTACTGAGTTAATTTAATAACTGAAATAATTATTTTTAGACTTTGACTTCACTCTGAATCTTTGTCCTTAAGTTAATAAAATCACTCAACTATGATGAAGAATTTTTGAATATAGCATTAAAGCTATTTTAGCAGCATTTCTTGCTGTAAAAAAAAAAAAAAGTTAAGAATTTTTAATACATGCAAATGTTTTTCCCAGAAGTGTTTTAAAATATTTTTCAGGTCATTTTGTCAGTCTTATGATATGAAACAGCATTCTACCAAGGTTTTTCGTGATATTGTGAATGCACTGGGATCTTTTATCCAGTCCTTGTTTCTTGTCCCTCCTACTGGAAATCCTGCTACAACCAACCAAGCTGGTAAAGATATATATCCTGAGAGACTGTTTTCTAGAAATTATATGACTAGAGAAATTTGGATACATTAATGAAGATTTACATTCAAAGAATAATGTGATGGCACTGTGGCAACTGTATTTTCTTTTCTGAAATAGTTCTCTGGTATACTTTCAGTTCCTCTAACAACATTAGAACAGAAGTTTAGATGCTATCCTTTTTAAGAGATACTCCACTGATTCTTTCCTTAAAGAGTCCTGGTGGTTATTACCTTAGGAAGTCCGTTAGTCTCTCTTTAAACAAAAGACATTAACATGGGTGTAAATTTGTTTGGGAATCAATGTATAAATAATTTATTGTTTTTCTTTACTGTCTTTGTCACTTTGAATTGATTGTATTTTTATTTACATCTTGACAAAAAAGACTAACAAAAGGGACAGTAAAAAATTTGGCAATAATTCTACTTTCGTAGTTTTTATACAAGAAAGGAAATGATATGTGGGGGAGTCGGTTATCTGGTAAATAAATAAGGATTAATTTTATTTGTATGTGTAATAGACTTGGTACAGGAAAAAATTTTCAAAGATTAATTAGGTGCTTGAATATTAACGATTTGTAATCAGTGGTAAATTGACATCTTTGCTTTTTCCCGCTTATCTACTAGGAAACAATAATTCAGGTGGCCCAGTCTCAGCACCAGCTAACTCAGGAGTTGTAGGGATTGGTGGAAGTGTTACTTTGCTACCAGCATTTGAATATAGAGGAACTTGGATACCTATTCTGACTATTACAGTTCAAGGCAGTGCTAAGGCCACCTAGTAAGTAGCAGTCATATTATTTTATAAGGAATGATATTGTTGGGGATAATATTGAATCCTAAAATGCTTCTGTCTGCGTTATATTTTAAGTTTTAGATGTACCATTTCTAATACTGTAAAATTCTTCGTCTTCTGTCATGAGAATATGTCTAAGACTATATTTTTTTGTGTGCTGTTTGTAGACTGCTAACATCATAAAACGATGGCGGTTTTTTATTGAACGCTAGAAACCTACTTAGCTGTCCTATATAGATTTTTTGGAGTATAGGACTTGATTTCAGACCTCTTGGACTTATGTCATCTGATACTTAGTTATGTTTGGCAAATTAATCTTTTTTTTTTTAAATCTCAGTTTTGTCATCTATGAGGTAGAAGTAATAATATATCTAGATTTTTTTCATCTTATATGTGAAGCAAGTTATTTTAAATATTTAGCTGTTCAGGGAAAAGTAAAAAAGAAATGAGAAAAGAAGAAAACAGAAACAAAGCTTTGGTAAATGAGGAGGGGAGGACAAGTTGAAGGGAGGGTAGGGAAATGGAGAATAAAAGGAATCAAGTTAGGTCATGTACATAACTTGATGATTGTGATCATTCTATATATTCAAAATATACCAATAAAATCTAGTTGAAGAAAAAAGAACCAAAAAAGTGTTTATTCTTATTCTTAAAGCTATACAAATAGAAATTTTAGTTTTTAATTTATTAAAACTTGAGCTGGGGATTTAGCTCAGCAGCATAAGTGTCTGCTTTGCAAGCACATGGTCATGAGTTTGATCCCTGGTACTGATTTAAAAAAAAAATTATTAAAACTTTAATGGAGTCCATATCTTTTCTTCTTGAGTTGCCATTAGTTACCTAGTTTAACGAACATGTATTTAGCAATGTAAATAGATACATGTTTTTTGAGAAGAGAAATTTGACTGACAAAATCCTTAGCACTAGTTTATTACTATGTGACTTTTCAAGGCTTGTTGGCCTGGTAAAGACTAAGTTCCTGAACTTTTCTCCCCATCTGAACTTAGCTTTTTTGATCAGTAATATAAATATGTTTCTAATGATTACCTAAATTGTAAAAGACTCAGAATTGCCACATTATTAGTGGTTATAATGGGTAAACTTCAGAGTCAATCAGGCTTGAGTTAAATACTGATGATTAATAATTATATCTGTGTCATTTAAGGTTTTTGTGAGAATTTAAATGAGATAATATACCCTCCTTCAAAACATAGAATCAGGCTGAGAATATTTGCCTAATAAATGATTGCTATATTTAGGTGCCAATATTGCTTATTCTACGTTTCTTTATTAATTCTGTAATTTGTGTAGTCTGAATTATGATTGAGAGATTTTTAGCATTTGCCAGGAATTTTATTAGTTTTTCTTATTGTATTCTTCAGTAATTTGTCTTTTTATTTCTGAGGTAATTTTATAACATAAAATTTACCCTTTTACAGTGCACATTTGATGGTTTCAGTATACTTTTAAAAGTTATGCAAACATTCCTACAATTTAGTTCTAGTATATTCCATTACCCCCAAAGGAATCTTTATACCCATTACAATCTTTTTTCCAGCCTCTAGCAATTTACTTTCTGTCTCAACTGATTTTTCCTATTCTGAATCTTTATTAGGAATGGAATACTATAATAAAATTTCTTTTCAGCTCAGACTTCCTTTATTTAGCATAATATTTTGAAAGTTCATTCATGTTGTAGTATATTAGTACTTCATTCTTTTTTATGGTTGAATAATTATGGATACACCACATTTTTTAGTCTCTTCATCATTTAACATATTTGTATTATTTTTAGTGTTTGGTTCCTATAAATATTGCTGCTGTGAACATTTACCTGCATATTTCTTTATAGACATGTGTTTTTATGACTCTAGGGTATGTATCTCAGAGTAGAACTGCTGGATCATATAATGGCTCTATGTTTAACCTTTTTGAGGAACTGTCACATTGTTTACCCAAGCAACTGTAATAGTTTATATTCCTGTTAGCAGTGTATAAAGGTTCAGATTTGTCCACATCCTAAGCAATATGCAATATTTGTTATTTATCTTTTTTATTATGGCCTTGTTAGTGAAAATTTCTCCCATTCTTTGAGTTGTCTTTTCATTTTCTTAGTATTACTATTTGAAGCATAGTAGTTTATCTTATTTTTACTTATTGGTTGTGCTTATATCTAATAACCATTGCCTGATCTGAGGCCAGGACATTTTTTGTCTATGTCTTACTATAGGAGTTTTTATATGAGATTCTTTTAATTCCTTTTAGGTTAATTCTGTATATAGTATGAGATAGAAGTCCAGCATTTCTTTTTTAATGTGAAGAATCAATTGTCCCAGTACCATTAATTCCTTCCCAATTGGATTATTCGTTCTTTATAGTATTGACAGAATGTTAAGGGATTTAGGAATATGATTTCTTATTTGTTCTGATTTAAGACAAAACATTTATTGTCCTTCCTCATGAAAGCTTCCTCCTATGAGTTAGAAACTGTTCTGTCATTTGATCTTGACACACCGATACTCTATCATTGTACTACAGATTGTTTCTGAGGTGATAGGTGAGCTGAATATTTCACAGTTAAGCTTTTCACTAATGTGAAAACATCTTCCCCTTCATAAAACCGATTTTATTTTACAGCACCTTCTTTTAAATTCACCTAAGGGGTCGAGGATTTAGCTCACCTGCGTAAGTGCCTGCCTTGCAAGCGTGAAGTCGTGAGTTGGATCCTCGGCACCATAAATAAATAAATAAATAAATAAATAAATAAATAAATAAAATCACCTATGTCAGTCAGGTATAGTTGTGCATGACTGTAATTCTAGCTATTCAAAGAGACTGGGATTAAAAGATTATAATTTCTAGGCTAACCTAGGCAATTTGACGAGACCTTGTCTCAAAATTTTAAAAATAAATAAATAAAATGTGCTCAGTGGTATAATTCATTCTGTATCCTTGGGTTCAATCCCAATACCAAAAAAAAAAAAACAACAAACAATCAAAGAACCCACCTAAGTCAGAGTTTGAAAAGCTTTATAATTTTTAAGTTTTACTGTGTTTTGTATATATCTTTACTTTTCTTATATTAACAATTAATGCAAATATTGGCAAATTAGGGAGAAAGCATTAAAATAATTAGTTACGTTGGGAGTCAGGCCTTAATTTTTCTGTTACTTAGAATACCATGAAGAGCTCAAAGGAAACACCCTTTATATTTCTTCTTCTGTCAATCTTAATTTCTACAAATTGTTAAAAAAAAGTTCTTGTAATTTCTTGGTTGTACCTTCTCAGTACTTTAATTTTTTTCATAATTTCAGCCTAGAAATGTTGGACAAAGTTGAGCCTCCAACTATACCAGAAGGCTATGCCATGTCTGTGGCATTCCATTGTCTGCTGGATCTGGTCCGTGGCATCACAAGTATGATTGAAGGAGAGTTAGGAGAGGTTACAGCAGAATGTTATTCCACCACTGAAGCAGCTTCTTCACCAACACAGTCATCAGAACAGCAAGATTTACAGTCAGCTTCAGACCAAACAGATAAGGAAATAGGTATATTTTGATTCTGTATTTTTAATTATTATTTTGAAATAGCTTGAATTTATGGACAATTGGCAAAAATAGGATTACCATACATCATCCATTCTTATTTTCCAATTGTTAGCATTTTACTATATTTACCTTACTATTCTGTGTACATACATGTCACTACTTTTTTTTTTAAACTATTGGAGAGTATTTATATTGACTTTATGGCCCTTATACCTTAATATTTAATACTTAGTTTTTCTAAAACTAAGGGCAGTATCTTAAGTACTGCAGTATAATCACTATTAGAATCCAATATAATCACCTAATCTCACACTACATTCAAATTTTATCAATTGCCTCACTACTGTCCTTTCTGGTCCAGGATCATTTTTGAGAAGTACAGGCTAAACAAATTGAGTTTGTTTTATGTTCCTTCATATTTGGAGTTACTTATTCATTTTTGACAGAATTTGCCTAGAAATGTTCCTATGCTGTATTTAATGTAAGGACACATTAGGAAGAATATGGTATCAACTTGTCTTCTTACTGTTTACTTTTATCATTTGGTTAATATGTCAGCCTGGTTTCTTCAGTACAAAGTTTATTATTAACTTTTTATAACAAAATACATCAGCTGTCTACCACAACAGTGCCCTTCCTTATTATTATTATTCATTTACATTAGTGTAACTTCCTGGATTTTTTCCTAAGGAAATTTGAGACTCAGATTGATCCTTTTGAAACTGGACTCAGTATCCTTTTGATGTCCTGTGACATTTTGACATTCTCTGAACACTTCCTTTTTATTTAATAGAAGATGTTCCAAACTAATACGGTATGTTTCTTGTCTAGCCTACATATCAGTCAATTTTCCAAGGAACCCTGGAGAATAGTATTAAAATACATGGACATTAGGTGTGCCTTATGCTACCTTATATAGGAAACACACATACACACACCCCCCACACACACACACACTGTGTTAAATGCCATGATGACATTATACCAATTTCTCTTGTTCCAGTTTAATACCATAAGGTTTATTTTTAACTTTACATATTTGTAATTTCCATGTCAGTGGTAAAGTGAGTGAGTGGTCACGTTTTGCTCAGTGTATTTATTTACTTGCTTGATTCCTAATGTATGTAGCAGATATCTTGGCTAAGTCATACTCAACATATTACATTGCAGCCCATCTTCATTGGTCACACAAACTTAAAGATTGGCCGGTTGAATGAACTAATATGGATTTTTTAAAAAAGATAGTTAACTCATATATAGAATGATCTTTCAGTATGTATTTTAAAACCTTTAATACTTCTTCAAGTTTGCAATTTGTGTGGCTTCTAAGTTTTTATTTATTTGGTATATTTTACATATTACATATAATTGAGTTGTTGATAGAATATTTATGATATTGTCAAATGACCAGTGAGATTTTAGAATTTGATATATTGGTGAGTGCTGTGCCATCTATAATTGCCATAAAATGTGATACTTTTTTTCCTTTAAGTTAATAGAGCTGTTTGGGAAGAGATGGTGAATGCTTGCTGGTGTGGTCTTCTTGCTGCGCTCTCACTCCTCCTTGATGCCAGGTATTAAGTCTTTGTAAGTTTATATTACACGGTGGCAGTTAAAACCAGCATTTAAAAAATTACTTAAATTTTGCCAAGAATCTGTTTTCTAATATTAGTGTTTTGAATGAATAGAATATTATTCTTAAATTGCATATACTTATGGAGTACAGCATAATACTATAGTACATGTATACAGTGTAAAATCAGGGCAAATAGTATTTCCATCTCACTATAATTTCTTCAAAATGTTCTTTTTCTGTTACCCCCTCCTTTATCGTCTCCTTGCCCTTCCTTCCACCAGAATTGTAATGTTTTAATGGCAAATGCAGTTCTCACATTACTAAACACTTTTTCATTACAAGACTTACTACTGCTTTTGCAGTGATGACTATGTTCAATTTCTTTAATATTTTGCTTCAGGATTGCAGACTTTACTAATTTTACAATTCTTGAGATACATACATTTGGGGAGAAGGGTGAGATAGCATGATAGCATCTTGCTATAGCATCTGGCCTCAAACTCAAGGTGATCCTCTTGCCTCAGCCTCCTGAGTGTTGGGATTATAGGCATGTGCCACCATGTCCAGCTAGAAATTCTTTAAGTTCTTTCATTGGTAGTATGTGTGAGTGTGTGTGTGTTACACTGCATTTACCTAGTTAGTTTTCAGATATTAACAGTTAAAATTCCTTCATTAACTGTTAAAATTCCTTCTGAAATACATTGATTTTAACAATATTTTTTGTAGATTTTCTTAAAACTTAACTGAATAACTAGTCCCACATCATGTTTTACCGTATAATTTAAAATAAGTTAATCAGATTAAGTAAAATACCTTATCTTTTCAGCACAGATGAGGCTGCCACTGAGAATATTTTAAAAGCTGAACTGACTATGGCTGCCCTTTGTGGAAGACTGGGCCTTGTAACTTCACGAGATGCCTTTATAACTGCAATATGTAAAGGTTCCTTGCCTCCACATTATGCTCTTACTGTATTGAATACCACCACTGCAGCTTCACTTTCTAATAAATGTAAGACTTAAGGTTATGCAAAGTTTCTCCATCCGTGGGGTGACAACATCGAGAAACGATAATGGGAATTCTGAGTTGAGGCTTCTGCTGTTCCATTCAGTGACTGTGTGGCTGAGAATGTTAATGCCTATGAGCATCAGTTTCTTTAGTCCCTTTGCAGCAATGGCAGTGGAGGGAAAATAAAATAATATCAATCATAAATATTAATTGTATAGATAAAATAAATCTGGAAGTTCAAGGCCAGCCTGGGCTACATAGCAAGACCCTATCTCTCTTTTTTTTTTTTTTTTTTTTTTTTGTCTTTTTCATTTTATTGGTACCCGGGATTGAACTCACGACTGCCTGCTTGCAAGGCAGGCGCTTATGCCGCTGAGCTAAATCTCCAGCCCCACAAGACCCTATCTCAAAAAAAAAAAAAAAGAAGCAAAATTAAAATGCTTTGTGTTCGAATTGTTTTGTATATGAAAACTACCAGTCTTATAATTTTTACAATTTATGTAAAAAGTCATTTTCCTTAATATTTGCTTAACTTGTCTTGATTTTTGTACCTTGTGAACTTTCATAGTGATTACATATAGATAATATTAATGATGTTTAAGTGTTATGGTTGAAATTAAATTAGTATTTTTAAATATTACTTTGAATGCAGTATGAAATGTATATGTTACTTATTCAGGCTTTCCTTTGTATTGTAGCATATTCTATTCAGGGTCAAAGTGTTATGATGATCAGTCCATCAAGTGAATCACACCAACAAGTTGTGGCAGTAGGTCAGCCTCTAGCAGTCCAGCCTCAAGGGACAGTAATGGTAACAAATTTGTCCTTTTTCTGGGTACTAATTAACTATCAGGGAAATCTTTTGGTACCTTTCTTTGTATTTAGCAAAATCTATCATTATACACACTTCTTTTGCCTAGAAGGTATTTTCAGAAGCTCTTTAGCTATATAGTTGGCATTATTATGGCTAATAAATGATAACACAACTGTAATCAATTGAACTTTTTTTTTAAATACCCAACTTATTTTCTTAATTTTTTACTTAAAAAAATCTTTGAATCCACTAGTATTACTTTATAAGACTTTCACTTTAAAAAATATATAACAATATATCTTTTTTAATATAGCTAACTTCCAAAAATATCCAGTGTATGAGGACTCTACTTAACTTGGCTCACTGCCATGGGGCTGTCCTTGGAACTTCATGGCAGCTTGTCTTGGCAACTCTTCAGGTATGTTGCAGTATGTGGGTTAGAGGTCAGTACTGTTAATCACTAGCAGTTAACTAACCAATGCCATGGATGCTTTAGGCTGGTCTGGGAAGCAGACAGTAAGCATTAAAAAAGAAGTTGGAAAGGAATATAAGACATGGCTCATATCATAGGAAGTGACGAGTGTTTCACATAATGGTCCAAATCCTGCTGACTGTACTTGGTATAATTATTTTGTATGAATATTAATTACTTCCACGTCTATCACCATACACTAAGTCAAAATGGATCAAAGATGTAAATATTAAAATAGAAACAAATCTACCAGAAGAGAAAGTAGGTAGAAATCATGAAGACATAGGTGTACACACATACTTCATGAACAGAACCCAAATGGCATGGAAAATACTTCAAAGAATCAACAAGTGGGATCTCATCTTATTAAAAACTTTTATACATCAAAAGAAATCACCAACAGAGTGAAAGGACAATCCACAGAGTGGGAAAAAATTTTAACCAATTGTCCCTCAGACAAAAGACTTGTGTCCAGAATATACAAAGAATTAAAAAAAAAATCAGACCCTCCCCCCAAATTCAAAGACCCAATCCAGGAATGGACATCTGAGATACATATACACTTCTTACATGAAAAAATACAAATGGCAAATAAATATATGAAAACATGTTCAACATCATTCGAGAGAAATTAAAACATTAAGATTCCAACTCCAGAAAGAATGATTGTCATCAAGAAATCAACCATCATCAAATGCTGGAGGGGTTGTGGGGAAAAAGGCATAGTGGGAGTGCATACTGGTGCAACCACTGTGGAAATTGGTATGGGGATTCCTCAAAAACTAAGATTTAATGGGGTCTTTTAAAGACCCCATTTGACCTAGAGATTCTCCTTTTGGGTATTTTCCCAAAAGAATTAAAAATATCTTACCACAAAAATATATGTGCACCCATGTTCATAGCAGCATAATTTGTAAAAAGCTAAATCTTGGAAACAATGCAAATAACTATCAACTGAAGAATGGATAAAAACAGAATGGATAAATTAGATATTTTTATACAATGTAATACTACTGAACCATAAAGAAGGAAAAACTTTTGAGGATAAATGGATGCAACTTAAGACCACACTCACAAGTGAAATAAATTAGACTCACGTGTGTAAACATTGTATTATCCCCCTGGTGTGAGAAATTGAAACAGTAAATAAGGTCAGGAATGAACAGTAGGTATTGTGAAATGGGAAGTAATTGCTTAAAAGGGAAGAGGAACTAGAAGGAGGAAAGAAAAGAAGGGAAAAGAGAAAAGAGAAAAATGCAAGGTAGTTATACTATTAGTGTCTCTTATTCATTGAAAAGGAAGGTTCATGCTCATATTGATTAGAAACTTTTTTATGCCCATATCTTATACTCTGAGTAACTTCTTTGAAGATGACAATATGCAGTATATTAACTATCATTACTCTCCTATCATTTTGTTATGAAATTCTATTTTACCTTTTTTTCAATAAAATAAAAAAATTACAAAGTATTAACCAATTTTAGTGTTAGTTTTGAGAAACTTACTCATTTTAGTACTAGTTACTGAAAGTTACAACTAATTTTAATGTTGGTGTTTTAAATTTTTAGCATCTTGTGTGGATTCTGGGATTAAAGCCTAGTAGTGGTGGTGCCTTGAAACCTGGAAGAGCAGTAGAAGGACCCAGTACAGTAAGCTCCAGTCCTTCTTAACAATTTAGTGGTTGCACAAATGTCATGTCACATTAACTTTATGCTTTTCTTAGGTTCTCACAACAGCAGTGATGACGGATTTACCAGTGATTTCCAATATACTTTCAAGATTATTTGAAAGCTCACAGTAAGAGTCATTTTTTAAAAAATAAATAGAAACGTTGTTACCAGCTGTATATTTTAGACCAGAATGTCTAATTTCTTAATTTTCATTTTAGGTATCTTGATGATGTATCATTGCATCATTTAATAAATGCACTTTGTTCCTTATCTCTAGAAGCAATGGATATGGCCTATGGAAATAATAAGGTGTGACATTCTACCTCTCAGTTTTAAATATGGTACATTATATATATATAAAGTGTACATCTGTTATGATTTTTGTGTTTTACTAGTAGGATTAACTACTGTTTATTAACAGTAGTCTGTTAGGTCTTTACCATTTCTAGTTATCTGTAGAAGGGTTGGAATACAAAAGACATAACTTGGCTTGTGATACATATTAAGTATGAAGTATGTTTCTAAATGCTGTCCATTCTTCCTGGGTATTAAATATTCTTTAAAATATTTTTATGAAGAATTATGCATCATAGTTTTTAAAAAAGGGATTCCATTAAATATCATGATAGCATTTGTAATTAAAATTTATGATATGGGAAATACAAGATTAAATTAAGGAAGGTGTGTCAGTTTCTCTTTTCTTTATTCCAATGTTAAATGAGCTAATCATTTCTTTCTGAAGATAATGATTATCTTAAAATTAAACTTTTCTTAGTTCATTGATTAAATGAACAGAGCAGTACTTCTGAATATTAACATTTAGGAACATTTTATATTCAAAATATATACTTGGAAAGCACAAAGTTTTGAGCTTCTAAAGTAGTTATTAGTCAGGCATAGTAGTACATGCTTATAATCTCAGTACTTGGGAAGCAGCAGCAGGAGGGTTATAAACTCACATCCAGCCGGCGAACTTGGCAAGACTGTGTCTCAAAATAAAATTTTAAAAAAGGTTAGGGGCCAGGGATTTAGTTCAGTGGCTTAAGAACCTGCCCGGTAAGTGCGAGGTCATGAGTTCGATCCCAGTACCAAAAAAAAAAAAAAATTATGTTATAGTGAAAAAAGGTTAGGAATGTAGCTTGGTGTGAAGGACCTCTTTATTTTAGAATCTAATTTTGTACAGTAAAACAGTAAATATTAGAATGGAAATTAAAGCCCTATAAAAATGTTCAAAAAAGGTACAGGCTCTGGCTTCAACTCCCCAGTCCCCCCAAGTATAAACCTTATAAAAGTAGTAGTTAAATTAACTTTATAAAATTATAGCTAGATTGAAGCTTTTTAAAAGTTCATCACTTAATTATGACATCTATAAAAATTATATGCAAATACTAAAATAATTTTTCTACATAATTAAAAAGCAACTGTCAGCTGTTTTAAATGTGTTAAATATTGTAGAAGTCTCAATTCTAGAAATTCTTCAGGTAATCAGCATTTTATTTTTGTTTGCATTTTGGGAGTTTGTGCTAACATGTTGAAAAGTAACTACCATAAAATTTTAATTCTAAGAAATTGATGCTGGTTACATGTATGCCTAATACCCCATTTAGTATAGCAACAACAAAAATATTAAAACAGCTATTTTTTATTGTGCTTACTATATGCCAAGCACTAACATATTATTTTATTTAACAATTTTCACGCTTTTTGTTAGCTTATGTCTGTGATTTTTTTAACAAGTACATTTTGAGCTGTTAGTCTTGCGGTTAATCTGTATTTATGGTAATTAACTTGCTGAGAATTTACAAAATAAATCTGATGCTGCAAAAACCATTTTTAAAAATGAAGGTAGGAGGAAAGGGGAAAAAAAGAATTGAGATGTGTTAATGTACATGTACCAATTCCCCATAAAGAATGTAATTATTAAGTACTGCAAACATATACTAATACAAATACAAATAAATTTCAAAAGAAAAGCAAAAAGAAAAAAAACCTAGATTCATTCACCATGCAGTATGAACTTAATCATTTAAAACAACTCTTCGAGGCTCAATGTGGTCTTCCTCTTTGTTTTTGTTTTTGTTTTGTTTCGAGACAGGGTCTCCTTATGTAGTTCAGGCTGGCCTTGGACTGACTTTGTAGACCAGGCTGCCCTCAAACTGGAGCATCCTCCTGCCTCCCACTCCTAAAGTGCTGGAATTACAAGTGTGCAACCCAACACCTCCACCCTGGTCTTCCTTTTTTCAGTGAAAGCATGAAAACAGTGTTAAGTTACCTGCCTGAAACCACTTATTTGGTAATTGGTAACTTTTGAATTTGAATCCGTTTATGTTTCATTCCAAAATTTCATTCTTAACTCCTTTGCAAATGATTATAAATTTTCAAATGTATCAGAGTTAGCTGTGGAGGTTTTAAAAATTAAAAATGCTAAAAAAATATTAAAAATTCTGAGTACATTCTAGGCCACTTGAATAAAAATCTTCAGTGTGAATCCTAGGCGTGTGTTTGTTGTTTTAAATGATATACATGATTCCTATGTACGCCATAACTAAAATAAGGAGGGAGAAAAAGCAAAAGTAACAGTAGGCACCATTTGGAGGAACTTATGTGCCACATACTGTCTGACATGAAATAGTGTTTATGTTGTTTTTATAGCCTTAAAAAAATTCAGTAGAAGGAGTAACTTACCTAAGGTTATGTAGCTATTAAATGGTAGACTTCAAAATCTCAGAAATTTAAAACTTCATACATTAGTCTTAACCACCATTCCATATTATTTCTAGAATCATGAATTTTTTTGCCACCCTAAATTTTAGGGTATCAACACATTAGCATTTGCAGGAAGGGTCAGCCTACTCATATTTGTCTTAAAACTCCAATAAACTTAGTTTACTGGCACATGTCAAAAATTTCCATCAGTACATAAAAATATAGAATTTAAAAAATCTTTATATCTTCAGACCAAATGCTCTAATTTAGATATTCTCTGTGTGAAGTACAATTTTGGAATTTTCACCCTGTTCCAATTCAAACATTCTCTTCCTTAAAAAAAAAATTAATCGGGGCTGTAGGTTTAGCTCAGCGGCATAAGCACCTTCCTTGCAAGCAGGCCATCGTGAGTTCGATTCCCAGTACCGATAAAAATGAAAAAGACAAAAAAAAAAAAAATTAATCAGGAGCTATTCTGAATACTTAAAGATGTCAGAAGGCTTATCTTGTGATAACAGGTTTTATAATATTTACTGCTAGCTATTTATATGCTAATTATATTTTAATCACAGCTGTACCTTTCAGAATAGTTTCATTTTTATTTGTAGTCAAGATGTTAAGAATTCTCTTTATTAACATTAAAATGAGTATTTTTCCTCCCTAGGAACCATCTCTCTTTGCTGTTGCCAAATTGTTAGAAACTGGTTTAGTTAATATGCACCGAATAGAAATTTTATGGCGCCCTCTAACTGGTCATTTACTTGAGGTAAACGCTTATACTTAAATATAATTTTTTTAAATAAGGAAGTGCATACAGAACTGATTCCAGATAATCTTTCCTAGCCTTCCTTTCTTGACTCTGTACTTAAATCTGTATGTTTTATCAAGGATTAAAGTTGTATAGTAATTAGTTAAGTGAAGCAGTGCTTGTTTTAATTGGTTGAAAGTAAGTGAGAATTTTAAAGTGTGAATTTCCATTGAAATCAACTGTCATTTTGGACTCCCTTTGTTTCATTATACAACCTCTTGATTCACCTCAGTTTCAATTACTGTAGTTCTCAAACTTCAAGGCAGTTGAAATTGAGCATTAGCAATGAACACTGCTTACAGCTTTTGCTACAACTGTGAGGGAAACTGCTGGTATCACTAATCATAGTGCCAGGGAATTTTATTTTGTATTCAGCTTGTGGTGACTCTTAATTAGCTGCTTGTTTATAACTACCTGCTTCTGTTAATGTGTATATTGGTATACAGTTTAGTTTTGTCTTATAATGGTCATTTTGTTTTTTTAGAAACCTGCAAAAGATACTTCATAGTAAGAAAAATAGACACAAATTCTTTTATTATTGGAGTATCAACAAATAAGGTTTTTAAATTTTATCACAGTTTTTGATTATGAACTATATTACAACCATAGTACTAAGGCTGCACATACAGCTCTTGCCTAACATGGATTCATGGACTCTAGGTTCTCTTCCCAATACCACAAAAGAGAAAACAAATCACAAGAAAACAAAATCCCTTCTCAGTTTGCTTCCTTTGTTAACTCTGATGATATATCCTTTGAAATCCTGTGACCTGTTTTAGCGTCATCTTTTTTCTTTTGTCTTCTTCCTATTGCTTCCTCTTGTCCTTGTTCAGAAGGTAAGCTTTCTGACATTTTAGATTTTATTTTTCTTGACTCTTGTAAACATATGAAGTAATTTTTAAAATGTGAAAACAGAAAATGTAGTCATTGAATTTTTATTTTCTCAAATTGATGTGTGACTCGCAGCTTACATACACAAAGTAAATATTTAATTTTTATTCAACATCTGTACCTTCAGGTCTGCCAGCATCCAAACTCTCGAATGAGAGAATGGGGAGCAGAAGCTTTAACTTCACTTATTAAAGCAGGATTAACATTTAATCATGAGCCTCCACTTTCACAGAACCAGGTAAAAAAAAGTACTTAATATAAAATCATCCTTCCCTGTAAGTAACTTTTTCTTAATTTATCAAATAATTGATATCCTAATGGTTCTTTAAAACTTACTAGTTTATTTTGTATGTAGACTATGGATCTCTTAAATCTTTTGTGAATGACAAAAGTTAATAATTACCTACAGTTGGTTTTCTACTCTGCTAGTTTTTTTTGACGAGATGCTAAGATATCACTTCAGTGTTGTCTTTACTTTGGTCTTTGCTTGTCTGATTTTTTTCTCACTGCCCTTAACTAGGGAGAAAACAAATGTCAGAAGCAGCAAGCACAATAAAATAGATTTTTATTTTTAAGTTATTTTATGCTCTCAGAGTTCACTTTTGTTATGATTTCTTTTTCCTATCTTTATCATTCACATATATCTTATACCATTTGAAAACTCCACCAGTTTTAGTGATTGAGCACTGAGCAGGAATGAGGCATTTATAACTATTTTCATTGTCCTTATCATCTTACTACTTTGTAATTGTATTATACACATTGATTCAATACATAATTGTCAAATACAGCTCTTGGAACAAAGTAATGAACAGGACAGAAGAGGTCAGTGCTGTCTAGAGTTTGAATTTCAGTGTTTTCATATTTTTTCCTACTGTAATAATCAGGTTTTTAAAACTGAAAACCCTTGTCCATTTACTGTCGTATCTTCAGTGTATACTTAATACTTGAAAAACCTCAATACTTGGTTCATAATGAGAATTTAATAAATACTTGTTTAGTCAGTGAACAAAATAAATGAATCCTTAGAAAGGAGAAAGTTTAAAATGAAGCAGGTACTTTCAGATGTTGGAAGGGATAGAAATGAGTGTTTGTTTTTACTCTCTAACAAATTTTGTGGTTTTATATCCTCTTTGTTAATGTCTGGCATACTTACTCATATTTTATACACATTCTAGCTCTTATTATATCACCCTTAAAAAATTTAATTTTAATAAATATGGTGTATTTTCTAAAAATTTTATTTAAAAGGAGAAAAAAAAAGAAAAAACAAGACAAAACAGTGTAAGGGTGCAAATAATACAGGACTACAAAAAAAAAAAAAAAAAAAACAGTAAGAAGTCACCAGTTAATAGGTTATACATTGTCATCTTATAAATAGTTGCTCAGGTCACAGGATCAAAGCATACAAAGTGGACATTCAAACAGTGAGCTGCAAACAGTTGTGTTCAATGATCCAACAAAAACTCCATAATTTGGTCATCTATCCTGACACACCTAAACACACTTGGAGTTGTATCCTTTAGAGCACTTTTTTTTCCTCTCTTTTTTTTTTTTTTACAACAAAATTTACACATTTTGGGTTTTATTACTCCAAATATGGTATATTTTAATGAAGTAAATGAAAGGTAGTTGAGAATTGTTTTCCTTTCTTCAAATATGGCTAGAGATGTATTTCCTTTAATGACATTCATTTCATTATGACATTTCATTATGGTTCTATATTTAATACTTTTTAAAATAGGGTCATTATTTTTTATTCCGAAACCTAATGTCTTGTATCTTTCTGTGTTACATAAAAATAGATGACAAAATAAACTTGCAGTGATAATGTTGAAAAAATCATACTCAACGCTTACTTTAATAGAAAATTTTCTGTTTACGCTGGTGATCAGAGTGGAGGTGAATTTAAACCTAGAAAGCAACAAGCTGGGCACAGTAGCTCATGCCTGTAGGCCTAGCATGCAGAAGGTTGAAATGGGAGATCACCTGAGTCCAGGAATTTAAGATCAGAGTAAGCAGCATAGTGCAACTCTATTAAAAAAATTGGCAACAAGAAAAAACCTTCCTGTCCTGTTGAACTTCTCTTCCTAATTAGTTTCTTGCCCCCTTTCAGAGGCTGCAATTGCTTTTACTGAACCCATTAAAGGAAATGTCCAATATTAATCATCCAGATATACGACTCAAGCAGTTAGAATGTGTATTGCAGATTCTGCAGAGTCAAGGAGACAGTCTTGGGCCTGGGTGGCCCTTAGTTCTTGGAGTCATGGGAGCAATCAGAAATGATCAAGGGTAAGTGTTTGAACTTAATACCCCAAAAGTAATAAAGATAGACGCATACATCTTGAAGGCTTGCAGTAATAATAATTTTTATGTATTTCCTTCTTGCCAAAGTCCAGGATGTATAATAATGTTTCTTAATCCTATCACTTTTACGTATTATAAAACTTTTAGGTATTACCTACATACAAAGATATTACCTATGTTTTAAAAGGTTGGAAAATTGCTGTTATTTAACATTAGTATTAAAATACAAGGTTCTGCCAGGTGAAGTGGCACACACCTGTAATCCCAATACTTGGGAAGCTGAGGCCAAGAGGACTACTACAAGTTTGAGGCCAATGTGGGTTACAGAGTGAGTTCAGGGTTAACCTGAACTGCATAGTAAAACCCTGTCTCTAAAAGACAAAACAACAACAGCAACAAAAACCCCCCCAAAAAACCAGAGTTCTTACTTACAATTATAAGCCAGTCTAACAAATTTCAGAACACATCCAAAGACTGAGTTTTGTTTTGTTAAAACAAATATTTGAAGAGCTGGGGATTTAGCTCAGCGGCATAAGTGCCTGCCTGGCAAGAGCGAGGTTGTGAGTTCAATCCCCAGTACCGCAAAAATAAAATAAAGTACAATACAATAAAATCTAAACAAATTGGGCTTTAAAAAAAAATATTTGGTAAAGTACAAAGTGGCAGTTAGGGACATAACTTCCCCATATATCTTAGAAAATCTAAGAAATAGCTTTAAAATGACTTTTTAAATGGATTAATTTATTTATTAAGCATCATTCTCTGCTTAGTGTATTCTGAATACTATGTTTGCTAGCTGTTCCAAGTTTGAGAAACAATCCCAGCAGGGAAGCAGTTGTTATGCCACAAAATAAGGCTCCAATGGGAGGAAGGCAGAGCCAAATTTTAAAGGCCCTCATACACTTTTATAGCTACTTGAATTTATCTTGAATACATTTGGGAGACATTATAGGATTTCTAAGCAGAGAAGTTATCAGATATGTATGTGATATGCACCTGACACCACTGTGACAGCACAATGAAGGGAGAGAATAAAATGAGAAAACCTGTGAGTGCTCTTATAACTGTCCCATGCATTTGAGCTATGTCACAAATTGACGTGAGGCAGAGGAAGAAATGGCAATTAGGAGTGACTCTGAGATTCCTGACTTAGGCAATTTAGTGGTTGTTGGTATCATTAACTAAATAGGGAATATAGAAAAAAGAGCAAATTTGGAGGGGTTATATGCTCTTATGTACTTAATTAACAGTAGAATACTAGCTTGTTGGGTATATTTGTCTGTAGTGCAGGAGTTCACACTTGCTTTGATGACTAATTACGGGTTTTAGATGATTGAGCTGCTTGAGACTACTAAGGAAAATTAACTTTTTCTTAAATATTTATATTATTAGTATTACATTTCCTATATAGTATTATATTTCCTTAAATATTGTAAAATATTGGAATTATTAAAACTATAAGCTTATGGGGCTGGGGATTTAGCTCAGTGGCATAAGCACCTGCCCTGCAAGCAGGCAGTCGTGAGTTCGATCCCCGGTACCGGAAAAAAAGAAAAGAAAAACAAAAACAAAAAAAAAACTATTAGCTTAGATCAAGTTGAAATTGCCTTTCACAACTTACATGCAGTGTATATGGCATTTTTGTAAGGATAAAGTTAATTAATATGTGTGAAACACTTATATTTTAAGCACTGAATAAGTGGTACTTATATAATTATGAATTTCATTATTTAACACCATAATTTTTCTCCAAAACAAATTTCCTTCATTTGAAATTCAAAATTTACTCTTCTGACCAGCTAGATGTAGAATTTTACATTCCTTTGGAGATTTAAAAAAGATAGCAGTATAGAAATAAAAAAATGAGGAACTTGTTTTCATTAAGTACTGTTTATGTACATGTGCTAGGCACCATGTAAGATACGGGAACAGCCAGGCGTGGTGTTGCACACCTGTAATCCCAGCATTTGGGAGACTGAGGCAGAAGGATTGCCACAGGATTGAGGCCATGCTGGGGGACATAGTGAGTTCAAGGCCAGCCTGAACTCTACATAGTGAGACCCTGACTCCAAAACAAAACAAAATAAAACAACAACAAAAATATATTTGGATACAGTGGTGGAAAAGTAACTATAGCTAACATTTCTTTCTTCATTGTCTTAAGTTTTCCTTTGGTTAGTTGGTACAAAATTACAAATAGAAATAATACAGTGCTAACACTGATTTTCTTTTCTTCTTTAATCTAATTTTATTGATTATTACCTGAGATTATTATTTGTTTAATTATATGTTCTTTACATTTAACGTGAAAATGTTAAAGTACTGTATCATATATATTAAGGAGTTTTTGCTAAAATTTAAAAATTTGCATTGTTCAAATTATTTTAAGGTGTTTATTTTTACACATTTCTTTTAAATCCATCAGTATATATTTCTTTTTTGTTTTCAGAGAATCATTGATACGAACTGCATTCCAGTGTCTTCAGTTGGTTGTTACAGATTTTCTACCAACAATGCCTTGCACTTGCTTGCAGATTGTTGTAGATGTTGCAGGTAGCTTTGGACTTCATAACCAAGAACTTAATATTAGTTTAACATCAATAGGTTTATTGGTAAGCACCAATGCTTTCTTTTGATAATATGATTTAAAAATTACTATTAATGCATTTGTGAGTGAATACCAGGCCAATATGTTTTAGGTTATATGGAAATTTTAAAAATGACTTTGAAGTATCAAACTTTTTTATGATGATTTAAATAACATCATTTAAGAAAGAGTTAAATTTAAGAGTTAATTAATTACAGAATATTTGAAATACTTTCGATATATGAAACTGAAGTTTGACATGACAGCTAGAAAACACACACACACACACACACAAACAGGGAAGGGAAAAGAGACTCAGAGACTGGGGTTAAGGGGATATATTCTTCAAAAGTATGCTTCCAGTGACCTGTTTCCTCCTGTTTTGCCCCATTCAACTCTGAATTCATCAGTAGGGTAATCCATTAATGAAGTTAGCACCCTTAGTACGTGATTCTTTAGGGGCACTTTACATATGAACCATAACACTGTTAAAAATGTCAGCACAGAAATATTATAAGCATGTTATTTATAAGATTGTTTCTGAAGAGTGGTTCAGTGTTAGATTACAGCTGAATGTCAACTCCTTTATTTTATATTTATGTTCACAGTATTTATCCTATTGAATTTTAAACATTGATATATCATGTTGTACAATCATAGATATATTTGAAGTAATTATATTTTTATATGAAACTTATTTAATTATGTGAAGGAATTGCTAATAATTTTGTTATGGTAGTAATGGTGTTATAGTTACGTTCTTCATAGTTAATTATTATATCTAGTGTGTGCATTAATACATTCAATTTCATTATATCATTCTTCTTGTTTTTCTATATACACTTGAAATTTTTAATAACAATTAAGTAAAGTTAGGGGCTGGGGATTTAGCTCAGCGGCATAAGTGCCTGCCTTGCAAGCAGGCAGTCGTGAGTTCGATCCCTGGTATCGATAAAAATGAAAAAGACCAAAAAAAAAAAAAAAAAAAATCACCAAACAATTAAGTAAAGTTAAAACAAAATTTTTTCCTCCACATTCTTCTAAAAATCAGATCAAAACACTGATAGGAAGAAATGTTTTTATTAAATCTATTCTAGTAGAAAAGAGATTTCTGAAATAATTTATTTATAGATTTACTCTGGAAAATAAAACAACCACATTACTTATCTATGTGTTTTTTTAAAATTTGGAAATAGTGATTTTTTTTACTTTTCCTTTCAGTGGAATATTTCAGATTACTTTTTTCAAAGAGGTGAAACTATTGAAAAGGAATTAAATAAAGAAGAGGCAGCACAGCAAAAGCAGGCAGAAGAGAAAGGAGTGGTTTTAAATCGGCCATTCCACCCTGCACCACCATTTGATTGCTTGTGGCTGTGTCTTTATGCAAAATTGGGTGAACTGTGTGTGGACCCCCGCCCTGCTGTCAGGAAGAGTGCAGGACAAACTCTGTTTTCTACAATTGGTGCACATGGAACTTTATTACATCATTCAACCTGGCACACTGTTATATGGAAGGTATTGTAAAATAGCTTGGGCTATCAGTTTGAAATTGAGATGTGCTTTTACAGTATTTTTTTTCCCAGTGAAACTTGTCCTTTTTAAATCTTTGTTTTTGTTTTCTTTTTGAGATAGGGTCTTGCTGTGTGGCTGCCTTGGACTCAGTTATACAGCCCAGTCTGACCTTAAACGCACGACTATCTTTTTTTTTTGGTACCAGGGATCAAACTCATACTTGCCAGGCAGGCCTTGTGCCACTGAGCTAACCCTGGCCCCTTACAACAATCTTTTTGCCTCACGCTCCGCATACTGGGTTTACAAACATATTCCACCACACCTGGCAGTTTCTTAATTTTTGAAGAAAAATATGCATTTAAAAAGAAAAATTTAGGCTTTATCATATTTCAGATTGCCATGTTGTCATATTTCAAATACATCTTCTATTTCAACTCTATACCATGGCTCCTCAGATCACAAACATGCTTAAATCTACTTTATTTTTAATGGTATTTTCTGATTCGTGTTTTTCTTTCAGACAGCTTCGTTTTTACCATTCTCATTACCTAATGCTCAATGGTTTCTTTCTCATCTCTCCTGCATTCCTTTATCCCTTATAATTTGATATTGAGATTATTTGATGTCATGTTCTCTTAAACATCATGGTGTGATAGAATTACCTAGAGATCTTATGAATGTACAAGTTACTGAGCCACTTTTGTTTCTTCTCCTTCCTTGCCCAGACCTCCAGTGTTTCTGATTTTTTAAAATTTTTATTTATTTTTTTGCTTGGAGTGGAGCCTGAGAGTTTGTTTTCAGTCTGATTTCTGAATGCTGCTGCTGCTGCTTCAGAGACCACACTCTGAGAATCATAGACATTGTCCATGGACCAGAGAGAATCTGGCTACTAATCCTTTTGGCCCAGGTCCAGTCCTTGTCCTACTGATTTTTGGCAGCATTTAATGCTGAGGATGATTTTCTTCTTAAAAATTTCTCTTTCTTTGACTTCTGTTTCAATGTATGTGTCTATTTCTCTGTTTAGGTTTTTTTTTTTTTTATTGTTTTACTCTTGTTGCCTTTACATATAAACATACCTAAAGTTCCAACCAGTTCTTGCTTACTGATTTTTTTTAAGCACCCTGTTTGATTCCTGGAGCTTTAATTGTAATCTTAATTCGTTTATCTCCCATAATGATATTTTTGCTTGAAATCCTTTCCTTACCTTTGTTTTTTTTTTTATAAATTACTCTATATCCCTTTGATAACCAACAAGTCTTAGATGTTGTTCTATCCAATTTATCTACATTTTTTCATTTTGCATGACCTTAAGGTTAAACTTAATATATTATACTTTTATTGATCAATTTCTTCTAGTATGTTGGAATGTTAAGATTGTCAGGTATATTTTTGAAACTTCTGGGTTTTTCTGTGTTGTTTCTTAAGCTATATTGTCACAATTTTAATATGACATTTTTATAAATACTTAGGTTCTCTTTCATTTACTGGACCGAGTTCGAGAATCTTCTACCACTGCAGATAAAGAAAAGATTGAATCTGGAGGTGGCAATATTCTTATTCATCATTCAAGGGATACAGCAGAAAAACAATGGGCAGAGACATGGGTATTAACATTGGCTGGCGTAGCCAGAATCTTCAATACTAGAAGATACTTACTGCAACCTTTAGGTACATGTACATTTTCTTTCTCAGATTACAAGCAACTTTTGTTAAAAGAAATTTAGAACAGATAGAAGATTCTCTTAGAATTCATATGCAGTATTACTACCTAAGAATAGTAAATTCTTAATTTATGGTCTTATAGTTATGTGTGAGGTATGCATGAGCATGTACATTTTTCATTATTTCATTGACCAAATTTTAATGTCTGTATATTATAAGCTAGTGTCTTAATCACACTTTCTTGTTGCTGGGACAAAATACCTGATAATCACAGTTTAAAGAAGTTTGTTTTGGCTTATGGCTTTTAGAGGACTCAGTCCATAGTTTGCTGGCTCTAAGGTAGGGTGGGTATAGTGGAAGGGGCTGGTGGAGGGAGGCTGCTCACATTTTGTCAGGAAGCAGAGAAAGAAAGCCCCAGGTAGGAAGATACACCCTTCTAAGTCATACTTTTAGTAACTCATGTCCATCCAGGCCCCACCTCCTAACAGCAAGTCACTGAGCACTCCATAATCCAGTCAACTTCCAAAGCCCTACCATTGAACACATGAGATACTTGGGGACACTAGATCTAAACTGTAACACCTAGCCTTTTGGAGACGCAGTGATGAATACAATACTTACTGTCCTTGCTGTCCCAATGATAAATGCTAAAAGGTGTATAATATGTCATGAGTTCAGAATAGGTGAGGGCCAAGTAACCTTTCCTGAGAAAGTCCTATCTTAACTGAAATCTGAAAGGGTAAATAGAGTTCATCAGGAAAGGGTGAAATAAAGTCAGCAAATCCTTATATATATACAAATAGACAAAAGATTGAAGAGAGAGGGCTGATGAGGATCCAAGCATGTTTGAAGGTCTGGATTAGAATGAAAAGAATAAGGAAAAATGTGACACCCAGTAAGGTGTAGAGGTAAAGAGAGGCTAGCACTTTTAAACTGCATGTGGAACTTAAGGTTTCAACCTAAGACGTGAAGTAAAAACCACTGAAAGGTTTTAATTTGTGTTGTGACATGATTAGATATATATTCAAAAAGATAACTTTGGTGTCCATAGGATAGCATGGTAGCAAGGAAGGATGGCAAGATACTGTTAGACTAATTAGGAAACTATTGGTACAGATCAGTGGTTCTCAAACAAGACATTTTGCTGGAAAAATATTTGTCACATCTGGGAAGAGATGGGTGCTGTTACCATTGGGGTGGGTTGAAGTAGAGGTCCTGCAGAGGATAATGATACACATCCTACAATACACGGAACATATCTTCCATAACAAAGATTATCTGACCAAAAATATTAGTAGTACAGAAATTGAGAAAGGAAGTGCAGATTATAATACTTTCAATTTTGGTGATAGTAATAGGTATTGTAAGGAAAGATGAACAGAGTTATGTAACTTTTGTACATAGTCGTGACCATGCTAAACATATTTTCTTGTTTTTTTTTTTTTAATTTGGTTTTTTTAAAACCTTCTTGTGTTAAAGAATATGAACAGCTACTTTTTTCCTAGTTGCTTTTATATGTTATTCATATATACTTTGTTGTGTATATAAGAATATACACACAAGAAAATAACTTACAGAATGTGATTCATTATACTTTAAGGTTTCATTATACTTTAAGATTTTTTAATCTTAATTTTTTTTCTTTTCATCCAAAATTTATATCCAGTGAAATGTATAAATTTTACAATGTGTATTTGCTGAGTTTTAATAAATTAAACATGATTTTTAATATATTAACTCTTTTAAAAGCTAAAAAGCAATAGATACAGATTTAGATTTTTCTAAAATGAACTTATAAGTCAATGCATGTGACTTTGATTTTTTTATAATTTGTAGAATAGGAAATTGTGCAATTACTATAAAACAAGGTTATGCTTACAAGAGGAACTTCTTGTAGACATAAAATTTGTAAGTGGAAGAATTGCAAAATTTTTACCTTGGATGGCACAGAATATTGTAAACCTGAGATTAGGCTACCACACTATGGATGGCAAATTTTGTGTTAAACTATGATGGGAACAGGAAGAAGTATTTATTTAAATATTTGATAGTTTTAAGATGTTTAATATTTGATAGTTTTAAGATACAATTTGTCATAGCATTGAGCAGTTTATGTTTAAAATCTGCTTTTTATTGCATACAAATTACATGCCAGTTTTAATAAAAACAGTATAATAAAGTGAATAAAACTGTTATGTTTGTTCAGAGTAGGAATAGCACCAGTTGTTGCGTATCAGACTTACTTTCAGCTGTCCTGTTAACTCCATGCTTCCTCAGACATTTGAATTTCTCTATTAAAAAAGAATCTAGTCACAGTCTCTGCAGATTAAGTCTTTAAACCTGAATTATTTATTTTATATACTTAATAACCTACTTACATTAAGTTACTTTGAAAAAACACCACTTTTTCTGGCTTCTTTGTAATTATAATGCAAATATGTAGATTATTAACAAAGCTATTAGGGGCTGGGGATTTAGCTCAGCGGCATAAGCACCTGCCTTGCAAGCAGGCAGTCGTGAGTTCAATCCCTGGTACTGATAAAAACGAAAAAGACAAAAAAAAAAAAAAAAAAAAACAAAGCCATTGAGCTTGATTGAGGTTGGCAAAAAGTTATTTTTTTTGAGCTTCCCAGAAACAGACTATACCAAGCCATAGAATGCATCATTTTAAATATGTTGTCTGTCATAGTCTGTCTACTGCTGATCAGTAGAAACCGGCAACTTCCTTTCAGTCCATGTCTGCCGACATGGAACTAATAGACTTGATTTCACACAAAAAGAATAAATTCATTGTGAAAGAACTGTTTGTTTATTAGGTTTGAACCTACGGCTTTAAATATGGTAGGCAAGAAGCCTACCACTGAGCTACACCTCCAGCCCAATTTATTCTTTATCGTATGTTTTTCTCCTCAGTCACCAGTATTATGAGAAAAAAAGTGTTTAAGAAACCAGGACATAAAATTAGGATTTATAGAGTCTAATATACAGTTTATTTTACAATATTTAGGTCTACTAAAACATACATCATACTGTTATAACTTCTCCATTGTTGTTTTTTATTTTGCTCTTTATAATTTGGGTATCTCCTATAAGAGAAGTCATGCGATCTATAATTTTGGGTGCCCGATTTATTTTACCTAACATCATGGTTTCAAGGTACATCCATGTTCCTACAATGACTCAAGTTTATCTTCCTTAGCAGTAGAGTTGTGTGTAAATACTATGTTTTTATTATCCATTCAACTGTTGATGATTATGTAGGCTACTCCCAAGATTAAGCTATTATGAATTGTGATACTATAAATATGGGATACGTATGAATCACTGTAACATGATTTCTTTTTTTCTGTTTGTTTTAGTACCAAGGATCAAACTCACAACCTCACACTTGCAAAGCAGGCATTTATGCTGCTAAGCTAAATCCCAGCCCTGTAACATGATTTCTTTAACTTTTTGGGAAAATACATAGGAAACAAATAGGGTCAAATGAAATTTCTAGTTTTAGTTTTAGAGGAATCTCCATATTTCTATACTGGTTGTAATAGATTACATTTCCACCAGCAATACAGAATGTTTCCTCCCCCACCCACCCCGCCTTGCCTTCTTAATTTGATTTTGATGATGGCTATGGTTTCTGGGGGGAAGATAGAACCTTGGTGGTGTTTTAGTTTGCATTTCTCTAATGACCAGTGGTTCTAGCGTTTTTTCATGTACTTATGTGTTTGTACTTCTGTGAAATATCTATTTCACTGTCTATTTTCTGATTAGGTCTTTTATTTGGAGGGACTTTTGATTTTTGAGTACTTTATATATTTTAGAAACTAGTGATTAAGAATGAACATTTTATACAATCATTAATGGTAAGAGGATAGACTAACAATATTACTTCAAAATCTTTGTCTTGTGCTCATTTTTTTAAAGAGAGAAAGACAAAACAAAATACAAGAAAAACAAGAAACAATAGAGACAAACAACAATAACAAAAAAACCAAAACAATAACAATATAGGCTTTCAAAACAGGGTGGTAGGGACTTAACAAAGGTTATTATTTTGTATAGTTACCTTTAAAAGAGTTACTCAGATTACCAAATATTAAAATGCAAAATTTATCTATTCCTATGAGCGTTAACTGTTTTGTTCCAAGAACTAATAGACTGTTGTAGTACAGTCATCTTAGCTATCTTAAGTGTATATATACAAATTTATATATTTTTTTCTTTTCCTTCCCTTCTTTTCTCCTTTTTCCTGTCCGAATTTGCTCATTGGTTTTTATTCTGTTGTTCAGTAGCAGTTCTATGAAATAGTATAAACCTACATATGTAGATTTATAGTTTTGTTTTCAAGACCAAAACCATGTTTGATATACTCACTTTCCTCTTTTCAGGGCTTTCTTTTTTTTTGATACCTGGGATTGAACTCACAACCTAGCAATTGCCAGGCAGGCACTTATGCCTGCTGAGCTAAATCCCTGGTCAGTTAACTGGCTTTCTGAATTGTGAGGATTTCAGTTCATGTTGTTAGTACATTAATATACCTATTTTTCTACTTTTATGGAAATTTAAGCAGAAAAAATAAATATGCTTTACAATATCTAATATTAAGGGAAATTTTGGTGATTTATGCTTTTCCTCCCTTCTTAATGCAGGAGATTTTTCAAGAGCTTGGGATGTTCTTCTTGACCATATACAATCAGCAGCACTCAGCAAAAATAATGAAGTATCTCTGGCTGCTCTGAAAAGCTTCCAAGAAATTTTACAGATTGTGTCACCTGTCAGAGACTCAGATAAGCCTGAAACGCCTCCTGTAGTCAATGTCCCCGTGCCTGTCCTTATAGGTTCCATATCAGGCCCTGGCCTGAGCAGGCCGTTTGTAAGAACAGATTCCATTGGAGAAAGACTGGGAAGATACAGTAGCTCTGAGCCACCCATAGTTACTGATGAGCTTGAAGATTTGAATCTCTGGTGGGCTGCATGGAATACCTGGTATAGAATTGGATCTGAAAGCACTAAGCCTCCTATCACTTTTGATAAACTAACATTTATTCCCAGCCAGCCTTTTCTTACAGCTTTAATTCAGATATTTCCAGCTCTCTACCAACATATAAAGACTGGTTTCAACATGGATGACTTACAAAAGTTGGGAGTCATATTACACAGTGCTGTTTCAGTCCCAATAAGTTCAGATGCGTCTCCTTTCATTCTTCCATCTTATACTGAAGCAGTTCTGACAAGTTTACAGGAAGCTGTACTTACAGCTTTAGATGTTCTCCAAAAGGTAATATAATGTTTATTGCTATTTTAGCAAAAATGCGTATAGTTTTCAGAACTTTTTTACTTTGCTATATATGTAGGGATAAATTCTGGATCATCAAGAATGCTGTGTATTTATTTTGAGATAAATCAGGATTGTGAGATCTAGTTAGTTACTTTTAAAACTTTGTTTTCTGATATTTTCAAAAAAGGTCATTCGGCTCTATTTTGAGTGTTTAGGAAGCCACCTGCATCTTGTTACTATTCACAAGCATTTTTGGTTTATCCATGTAGTCTTTAGAAGAAGATGTATTTGGGGTAATAACTTTAATAAAGTGCTTTTATGATTAGAAAATTAATAAACATTGGCATATTTTGATATTTCATGTATACTCAAACTTGTGAAATTATAGAGAGCTTATATTTAGAAAGGACAAATGTATAAAACATTTTTTCAGAAGTTTTAAAAAGTAGATATATTTAAGCTGTGTATGTTTTCTTGCACAGAAAACAAACTAAACGAAATCATTCAGCAAATCCAGATTTGGAACCCAGACCAGATTTTAATAAGAAGGTTTTTAGCTTACCAAGAAGACTGATAGTGTAATTCAAAACTATCAGAATGCTAAAAACAAATAAATAAAAAACAAAAACTGAATAGCTACCCATTTTAACAAAGTAGCTAAAACATTATACTGAAATTAAAATAGAAATAGAATCTTACCATACATGTTTTCAGTAGTCATTTGTTAGTGCAAATCATGTTTTTAGTGAACTGATTTTTTTTTACACAGTTGCAATGATGAAAATTTTCACTGTAAGAATAATGATAATCCCCATTAGCCACCATGATACCCTTTAACTGCCTATGGAGATAGTTTAGGTAAGCTGTAATTTTCATTAACCCAAGGAGCACCATATAGGGAAACAAGTTACACAGAAACTTAAAATTTAAGAGAATTTCTCATTTAAAAAAATTATTATATGGATATTGATTTTTACAATTGAAATCAAAATAATTGCTTTTGATTTCGAAAAAAGGAAAGCTATCTAGTTTTTCTCTCAGTTGGCATAAAAATAAATTGCTTGTCAATTATCCTAGAGGAAATAAAAAAATGTTTTTCTATCAGAAAAGAGTATCTTAAGCTTCTTGTGAATTGTCATAAATCCAATTCACATATTTGATTCTGATTTTTATCTAGTCAAAAAAATAAAGAAGCAGGAATAACCCTATAGCTTTGTTTTTTAAAGTACATGATTTTGTTATTTTTTTAAAACTCAGTTTTAGGGCTGGGGCGTAACTCAGAATGGGCACATAGCTCACTGGTAGAATACTTACCTAGCATATGTGAGGCCCTGGGTTCAACCTCCGGTACTGAAAAGAAAAAAAAAAAAAAAGAGAAAAACCTTTGTTGACTAAAATTCTGCTGTAGCATTAAGAAAAATGAATTAGTCATACAAGTACTTGTAGTTTCAATCTGAAACTTAGGAAACTTTATTGTTCATTTATATCGATTGTTACTGTTTTTCATGATTAATTAATTTTTATTCTAGCCATTGTTTTTTTCCTTGTGTAGTTATCTAATTGATAACTTCATGAGCCTGGAATATATTAATTATCTTCTAATAAAAAATTAGCATATATCAGAGTATTTTTATATTCTTTTTCCAAAGGCATTGGAATGCTTTTGCAAGCAAAATTTATTAGCCTTAGAATTGTATCTTTAAAAATAAACTATCCAAGAAAATATTTTCTTGATTAAAATCTGTTTCTCTTACTAAAGGAAAAAACTCATTTGTGATTTCATTTTTTTTTCCCTAAAACAGCTTCTGTGTTGTTCTTCCGTTACCAGTGTATTGTATAGGGCTTCATAGCCTCAGTCTTGGTTCTCAAAGGGTTCGTTCAGTTTTGTGGGCTAATTGTTCTTCCTCATTTTAACATATGTGTGGGAATTGGGAATTTGATTATCTGCTTTATGTGTAGACCGTACTGTGAGTTCTAAGGCCAGGAGACATCTGTCTGATTGATTAGAAAAGTTAGATGTCTAGATCCCATATCTAGCAGGGCTGTTGGAGTCACACTTCAGGGGACACCATCACAGTTTCCTTGGAGCTGTGTAATGAAGCCCTGAGTTGTACATAATATAGGGCGATTTTCTTAATCCATCTGTCCTTCAGCTTGCTCATCTATAAAGTAAAAATAATAAATCTGTAACTGTTGTCTTTTAAATGGGCTATGTATTAGATTGTTATGGTTGATACATTGTGTCAACTTGAGAAGTTTAGAAGTTTAATTAAGAAACTCAGCTAGAAGCCAAGGTCCTTACTTTGTAAACATCCTTATTCTGTACAAGGGGAGGGATAGAGATTTTGTGAGTGCTATGTCTGCTTTCCCGGGTGTGTATTGTGGGGTGGAAAAAAAGACTTGCTCTTTCTCTTTTGCTGTGGCTGCTTTTGCTGGCTGCTGCTTTGAAGTGTTGCCCCTGTGCCATGCCACTGTACCTTGCAGCCAACTGATTTAGTGCTTGCCACAAGTTAAACATTCAGTAAGAATGTTATCTCTGGGCTGGGGATTTAGCTCAGCGGCATAAGCACCTGCCTTGCAAGCAGGCGGTCCGGTCGTGAGTTCGATCCCTGGTACTGATAAAAATGAAAAAGACAAAAAAAGAATGTTATCTCTTCTTAGTTTTACAATCAAGTCATCTAGCAGAGACCTTAGTACATGGTAATGAAGGATTTATTGTTAAATCAGTTGGTGAGTGAAATTTCTTGAGACATGTCACAAGTTAAATGTTCACTTTATTTTGTTTTTTTTATGCATAGCTCTCAAGGACTAAAAGAAAATATTGTCCAGCTGGCTTATTCATTCCTAGGCTAAAATCTGTTATCAATTTCATCCTTTAGTTTTTTCTGATGTCTACTTAAGAATACTGAAGAAAAGCCATTAAAAACTTTTACCTAGACAATATCTAAGAAAAAAAGAATGGGTTCCATATTATGCATTTTAAGGTTCCAAAATTACTTTATAAAAATATCACTATTAGTATATTTTCTTTTTATAAAGGATTATTGAAATAGAAATGGGTTCTCAAATTGCTGATAAGATACCTCCAAAGAAATTGTGATATTTAGTTTTCTCAAGTATGCACATGGTCTTTCTAAGTCATCAAAAACTCTAATACTCATGTAGGATAATTTGGTCTGTTTTCCACAATAATTCCTACTAGTTTACTTCTAAGAGTTGAGAAATAACATGATGTTAATTAACAATAAAGTAGAACTATTAGAAGTAGAGAATTTTTTAGGCTGTATAAACTTTATTCGTTTTCTGTTCACTCTTTCTGAGTAAAATACTCAAATATTGAAAGTTAGTGGTAGATATCTTTATTATACTTTTTTATTTTGTATCCATACCTATATACAGATTGTACTAGCTAATCTACATTTATGTGTCAATGCAGTTTTATCTGAAACTTTAGTCACAAATACATGCTGCATTTGTGAGGCAAAAATAACACAAATCCATTATCTGCTAAATTGAAAAAAGGAAATAGATGCATAAAAATATAAATTTTATAACTGAAATACTTTAAATATTTTAAATGCTTTTGTAGCATGTGCAAGACCCAGCATCATAAAAACACAAAGAAATGAATGCTTTGACTTTTGTGTTTTGGTTTCATTATTTGAGAATATACTCAAAATATGCGTTGTTTTTTTTTCAGACAGGATCTCACTGTGTAGTGGCCTTGAACTCACTGTGTATCCCAGGCTGGCCTTGTATTTGTGGCTTTCCTGCTGCCTCAGGTTCCAGTGCTGGGATTACAGGCGTGTATCACCACATGTGGGTCAAAATACCCACTTAAGGATAGATTATTGTGTTTTTTATTTTGATGACCTTAAGTATTTTTGCCACAGAGAAAATCATTACAATAAGAAAATATAAAAGAGTGACAGGAGAAAACATATTTGTGGCTAGAAAAAATAATATAAATCTAAACTGCATGAGCTGCAAACATGTACTAATATGTTAAAAGTATATATATATATATATAAGCAAATAAGACATTTTGAGTACTTTAATACATTTGAAAGTATTGTAATTAAAGTCTACAGTGTCCAGATACGCATTTTATTCTTCTGTCAAACAATTTAAGGCAATAAAGTGTTATTTCATCAATTTACATTAAATCATTTTACCTGTTTTAAATCAAATACATATAACCATTCAGAAATGTCAGATTAAGTGCACACAACCTGTTAAAGTTAATCTGTAATTTCTTTTAGAAACATTTTCATAGATGACTTACTTTACTAGTTATAAGGCACATGAGTATTTGTCAGTTCTCATTTTAATGAACTGGCATCATTTATGGTCAGGTGGCTGTATTAGTGAACAAATGAGCTGAGTGTGGCGCCTCCGTATTGCCTTGGTCTCTTTAAATGCTTGCGCCTCTGGAACAAATCACACTTTAGTAAAAAGCATTTTTAAAAAAGTAGCAAATTTATTATTTTAATAATTGTGAAGATCAGAAGTCTGAAATGAGTCTTAAGGAGATAATAAATTAATATCTAGAGGGTTGTGTTCCTTCTGGAAGCTCACAAGAAGAGTTATGTTTCTTGACGTTCTCAGCTTGTGGAGAATAACTGCATTCTTTGGCTCTTGATGTCTTCCACTGTCTTCAAAGCACATCTGATGTTATTGCTTCTGTCTTTGTATTTCCCTTTTCTGCCTCTCATTTTCTTACCTCCTCTTGATAAGAAGACTTACAGTTATGTAGAGCCCACCTAGCTAATCCAAGAGCATCTTCTCAGCTCTAAATCCTTAGTCTAATCACAACAGCATACTTCCTTTTCCCATTAAAGGTTACTTATTTTACACATTCTGGGGATTGGGTTATAGGGTCATTAGTTAACACTTTCAGGCTATACTTTATTCAATAATAGTTTTAGACAATTTAAATGTCCTGTAAGTTGTATAAAAATGGAATACCCCAAATAGTACAGCTTTTACTTTGGTTAAACCAGTGTATACACAGTAAAGAATTTACTGAAGTTCCGATTATGCATTCTAATGTTTTCTATTTTGCTTTTATAGGCTATCTGCATAGGACCAGAAAACATGCAGATAATGTATCCAGCTATATTTGATCAGTTGTTGGCATTTGTAGAATTTTCTTGTAAACCTCCACAGTATGGACAACTAGAAACAAAGCACATAGCAAATGCAAAATATAATCAGGTAACTTAGTACAAATTATATTTATTCTCTAAGATTTTATAGCTCATAAATAGTTCCACTTAAGATAGGATTTGATTCTCTCAAAAAAAATAATGTAGTCACACGTAAGTTTGTATGCATCTGTTAACAGTTTAAACCAGCAAAAATACATTTGGGAAATCATTTCTGTGTTCCTTTTCCCTTGTTTGTGACCTTCCTCTCTCAAGTGGTCCTTCAGAAAGTTTGGCCTATGTTTTGAGAACATGGTTCTTAAAAAACTTTAGGTTCCTTTGTATCTTTTTCACGGCTACCCCATCCCACTACAAATGGCTTCTAAATCCCTAAGCCTGAGTTTATCTAACATACATATCTGCAACGCAAGATAAAGAAATCTGTGTGTACTGAATGAAGTTGTACACTGCTGGTGTGAAATGTAGTAGTTGGATTTTACATAAAATATTTTTGTAGCCATAGTAGGCAAACTTTAACTTCATTTTGGCTTAGGAGAAAAGTAAAATTCTGAATGTGTGCACATGCTGATTTCGTTCACTCAACATAAAAATTATAATTTTATATAATCCCAAAAGTAGTTTCAATATGTATTAACTTTTCTCATTCTATTTGTCTTGCAACACAATGGAATCACAATAGATCCAACTATTTGCACCGGTGAGTTAACTTTCCTAAAATTGTCCTAACCTGTTGGCAACAAATAAAATACATCTTTCCCAGTTCTTCATAGAATCCTTTATATAGTCTTTTTCTGATAATTTTTAACTTTTGCCTGGATGAAAATTATTTTTCATGAAGAATATTTGAAAACCGTGCATGTAATATAAGCTGACCTAAAACCAAGGCCTGGACTTTTAAGACAAAGAAACTTTCTCTTTGAAAACAATGATTTCCTTTAATCCCTTTTATCTTTAACTCCATGTAAAAATATTACTTTCTAGGCAGAATGGGTAGCCTTGAATTATGTACCATTTGCTGAAAAATCTTTAGAAGTAGTTGTGGATTTATACCAAAAAACAGCCTGTCACAAAGCAGTGGTGAATGAGAAAGTTCTCCAGAATATTATTAAGGTATCTTTTCATTTCTACATTTTTTATTTGATGATGGAAGAATTATTGAAATTGTTCTTTAGGTGATAAATGATTATTTAGGTGACATTTTATTATTTTGAAATAAGCAGGAAATATTTATATTATTATTTATAGTGACTTTCTTTAGTATTCATGAATTATATTTACTAAGCTGTTTTTTAAACTCTTAGGTCTTTCTGATGAAGAATATTTTTTTAAAAGTGCAGTAGATGTATTGTATTTCTTAAATTTTGCTAGTAAGGCAGTGAGGATCCTGTTTCTAACTTTACTCTTCCTCTAGCATGTAGATATACCTTCTATTTACTAAGTAAATAAAAGCTACTCTGAATTTTTTCCTATTGGAAGAGAGCCTTTCTCTGTTCCAAGATTTATCCTCTTTATATTCCTCCTTCATTCTACCTTTCTTTATTGGTGATTGTTTGATATTTTTAGCATTTTATACTTTATGCTACAAAGAATTTTCTCTGAACTCTATTTTCTGCTCAAATTACCATCCTTTTTTCAGCTCTCCTTTATTTCTAAATTCCATTAAACAATTTGTAGCTGAGCCACCATTCACTGTTACCTTACTGTATGCTGGCTTTTGGCTTATGTCCTCATTGCTCCATAGAAACTGCTTTCACAAGCTTCAAATCTTCATATCCAAAATCTTTTTCTAGTTCTTTATCTCCTCTATGGAATGGTAGCGCTCCTGCTTTAAAAATCTTTGAGTTGTGAGATACTTCTTTTTTCCCCTCGCCATATACTTACCAAAATTCGCCCTTTGCTCTTCATTTATTGAATATACTTTTAGGCATCTCTATTACTAGATACTAAATACTAGGAATTAGAAAATGAATAAGATAATTCTTATCTTTAATAACTCAAAAAGAGAAGAGAGAAAGGCAAACAATAATATAGTATGATGAGTGCTAGAAAAAGACCAGAGTGGCAATAGCTTTTTATACAAGTATACCTGACTTAGAATAGTGTTGCCCTGTTTACCTGATGCTCTGTAATTTTGAGTTTGAGAAATTTTATGTTTACCCTCATTTGAGAGTGTTTCTTACCTGAGAAAAAATTTAATACTAACAACATTTGTGTCTTAACTACAATTAAGAGAATACACTGAATATTTACTTAAATGATGCTTGCCTTGCCTAGTAGCCAATGCTGAATAAAATGTTAGCACTTCACTGTAATTGAACTGCTAAAGGAATTTGGGGGAAAAAATAGAAGCAACTGTTTTAGGAGTACAAGTTTGCTATGTTAGAAGGAGGAAAAAGGCATTATAGATGAATTAAGCTGTATAAAAGATCATGGAATGGGCTGGGTATTTAGTTCAGTGGCGTAAGCACTTGCCTGGTAAGCACAAGGTCTTGAGTTCCATTGCTGGTACAAAACAAAACAAAACATGGTGTTTTCAAGAAATGTTGAGAAGCTCCATTTAAGGAGCTCACAGGATAATGGGATATGTCTAATAAGCTGTAAAATTCCGTTTTCAGGGACTGGGGATTTAGCTCAGCGGCATAAGCGCCTGCCTTGCAAGCAGGCAGTCGTGAGTTTGATCTCCGGTACCAATAAAAAGGAAAAAGACAAAAAAAAAAAAGAAAAGAAAAAAAAATTCCAAGTTTTCTACTTTTATTCTTAACCTTTTAGGAAATACCCCTATTTTTGTGATGAAAAAAAAAAAAAAGGAATTTCAAAACAGTTACTTATTCAGACTTACTGTTTAAAGGATGGAGTAAGAATTTAATAGCATATCTCTTATAGTTCAATGTGTAGCTCAGCGGTAAAGCATGTGCTTAGCATCTGCAAGGCCCTGGATTTAATTCCTGGCATCCAGTCAGTCAGTCAGTCAATGTATGTATGCATGTATATGTTTCTAGAAAGCAGGATTTAAGAGCCATGTCTAAGAATCACTAGATAATATCACCCTTTCGCAATGAAAATGCTTATGCTATTACTTTTTCTCTCTGGTTTAGCATTTTGCTTCACAGTAAAGTTGTCTTTAATTAATACTTGTTTTAAAGCATCTTTATTTTCAGACTCTTAGGGTTCCTCTCAGTTTGAAGTATTCCTGCCCTTCTGAAAGCACATGGAAACTAGCAGTATCTTCTCTCCTCAAAGTTCTTTCTATTGGGCTCCCTGTCGCTCGGCAGCATGCGTCCTCTGGAAAATTTGATAGTATGTGGCCAGAACTAGCCAACACTTTTGAAGACTTTCTCTTTACTAAAAGGTGAGATTATTACTTTTAAACAATAAGACAGTGTTTCAAGAAGTATCGTATTATATTGACAGTTGCTCTGAAAATAATTTTTATCTTGATTCATTAACAAAGTGATTAATTAGATTACTAACTCCTATATAGATATAACAGTTTAGGCATTTATTCACTGTATGTTATTCATGAGCATTAGAGTTTGTTGTTATTTTCACTGTTTGGTTTTGAGGCAGGAATCTTATCTATAAGATCATATGAACGTAACACAATTAAGTAACTGAATTTTTAATTTAATGAAGATAATATAATTTTTAAAAATCTGAGGCCCATTTGGTTCTACAAGAGGAAAAAAATTTAGAAAATTAGCATTTTTTAATATTGATACATTCTTAAATCCTTTAAGGTTTAATTCATACTTATCCTAAGACCCTGTATATTTCTCTATGATACTTTCTAACTCTTTTGTTCTTGAAGTTGCATTGGCAAGGGAATATAATAATAAAGACAATACAGATAAAGTCAGAATCAGCTAGAAGAAAAGAATGACTTTGAACATCATTGCTGTCATAAGTACATAGATTAAGAAAAAAAGCACAAAATTGAAAAGCAGGAGAGCTATAATCTAGTAGATACGTGAGGTCTGTTTAGAAATTTATCCAGCCAAACTTTGAATACCAAAGCATGGCACTTGTCCTACAGGAGACATGGTGTGCTAATGGATCCTGTATAATTTATGCCCTGTGGATGGTACATTAAAAGTCACTGAGTATTATGTTTTCTCCTACAGCAGATATACTAAAAATTCACTGAGTACTAAGCCAGGCACATTGTTGTGCATCAGTATTCTCAACTGCATTGTTGGGTGAATGAGGCAAGAGTAGTTTGTCACCTGCTTTGGAAATATAGCAAGATCCTGTCTCTCTCTTAAAAAAAAAGTCACAAAGTACTATTTGAAAGAACTGAAAGCACATGTTCACATGATAAACTTATATGTTAGTGTTCATAGCAGTATTACTCATAATCAAAAGAAAAATAACCCAAAAGTCAGTTGATTAGTGACTAAATTAAACATGGGGTATATTTATATATGTCCATACATACACACACACAGTACACTTCTCAGTATAAAAAGAACTGAAGTACTGAATCATGTTACAACATTGGATTAACAAAACATGTGAAGTAGAAGAAATTAGACACAAAAGACTACTATACTATTGTATGATCTAATTTATATGATGCATCCAAAATAGGCAGCTCCACAAAAAGAGAAAATAGACTATTTGTTCTCAATGGTAGGGAAAAATGGGGCAGGGGAGGAGAAACTGCTAATCAGTATAGTTTCTTTTGGGAGTGATGAAATATTGTGGAATTAAAATAGTGATGGTTGTATAACTTCATATATATGCCAAGTTTGCTAAATCATATACTTTTAACAGTGGATTTTGTAGCCTGTGAATCGTCTTGGTTACAAAAAATTTCAATATACCATACAGAGAAAACTGACCAAAAGTATATATTTCATTAGTTTGAAAATTTTTTTAATATTATTTATTTGTTTGGGGTATTGGGGATGAAACCAAAGGGTGTTGCATCTTGAGAGATAAAAGTGATGTTTAATTCTTAAGCCACAGTGAAACAAGCCAAGGCTTTTTAAGAAACACACTAATTTAAAAAAAACACTAATATTAATGCTACTTGCATCATAAATCAGAAATACTGAGCTGGATTGTTAAAATATGAAGAAATAATAGAGCAGCACACAAAATTAAAAACTGGAAAGTTTACTCTTAATTCCAACAATCGATAAAATCAAGAAGTTGTTTTGTATAAATTGAGTATTTTGATACCAGAACCTTAACTAATGATTATTTTAATTAAGTTAGTATCCTTACCAAAGCATAGCAAAAAACACTGGTTGAAACTTTTAAAATGCTGATTAAAATGATTTACCTATAAATTACAAGGGAGATGGCCAATAAATGGGCCTTGTAAAACACTAGAAGTTTCATGAATCGTTAAAAAAAATTTTTTTTTAAAGTTTGGGTAAGGTGGCACATGCCTTTAATCTCAGCTACTAAGGAGGCTGAGACAGGGAGCATCACAGTCAAAGTCAGCCAGGTCAACTGAGCAACCCTGTCTCAGAAACAAAGTAGGGGAGCCAGGGATTTAGCTCAACAGCTCAAGCGCTTGCTTGGTACCAAAACAAACAAGCAAACAAACTAGGGTGCAGTTCAGTGCAAGAGCACACCTCTTAGTTTCATCCCCAGTAGGTTTTTGAAATTTTCCCTGTAATTCTTACTACTAGATTATAAAGTTAGTAGGTCTTAGACACCAGAATATAAATTCTGTAACACATGGACTGAATCTAGTTTTTTCACAATTGAATCTTAAGGAGTAGATATAAAACCTGCTTCAAGGTAGTTGGTACTCAGTAGATACTTAATGAATGCAAAGTGTCCAAATCAAACAAACCAAGGTCCAGTGCCTCCTTAACCTTGGGTACAAAACTGTGTACTGATACACTAATGATTTTTCCCCTACAACATAAGAGAATAATATAGGCTCAAATGTCAGGTAGATCCAGGTTGCCATTTACCTTAGTGTGTTTTTGTGCATTTTGTTATCCATTTGAAGCTTCAGTTTTGTGTTAATTACAAGAAAATTATGTTTGCTTCATGTGACTGCTGTGGAAACCTATGAGATTAATACACATAAAGCTCTCGTAATGGGTGGCTATTCAACTTTCATTGTCGTTGTTGTAAAATCACCACTACTCTCAGTTGTTTTTAAATGATTAATATTTCACTATTTTACAGATTTCTAACAGTTTTACTAAATTCTATGAACCAGTATTTAGACTCCATCTTGCTTTTCACAGAACTATTGATTTCAGCTTTTGTTAGCACATATTTTATTTTTAAAAATCTAAGTTCTTTTTGCAAAGTAGATATTCTCTATTGTTACTGTAAAAAACGTAAATACATTGTGGTTATTACAAATTAGTGATCAGTGGCTCTGAGTAAATAATTTAGCAATTTAATTGAGGTCTCTCAAGTCATTGCAACCTAAGTGAATTCAAGTATCACAATGGTATATTATAAATATATTATATTTGCTATAATATAGATGATATAATATCTTTAACTTTTTAAATTTTTCTTTCATAATAGTGAAAAAGTTTAATTCTGCAGATTTTTAGTTTAGATTGGACCAGGCATTTTTGTAGTTGGAGTTTTACGTTTGCATGTCCCAACCTAGGTGGGAAAAATTTATGATTTGTCTACTGTTTATATATATTCTGTTTGTATCTCCAAAGAGTATTTTTTCTTTTAAAGTCAAAAATATTTTGTTTATATTTTTTAGCATACCTCCAGATAATCTCTCTATTCAAGAGTTTCAAAGAAATGAAAGTATTGATGTTGAGGTGAGGAAGCTATTTAATACATTTTCCTGTGATCATTTGTGAAAGCCAAATATAAAAATGTTGAAATTATAAAATTGCTGAAAGAATAAGGTAAAGTAATAAGATTGAGCCAAAAGGCATTGAAACTCTCACAGATAAAAGATTGAGTTTTAGGTACTGACAGTGTAAAAATGATTTCCTTAGTTGTGGTTTTATACTATGTGCATGTTATCTAGAGATTTAGTTGGGTTTGTTTAAAAAGCAATTTAGTTCACTGAGATAAATCCATCAGTCAGTGAGCATAGATTTGAGAGTTCAGTTTCTAGTTTGGCAAATCAGGTGTCTGTATATAGTTCAGACTACTCCGGTTGCTTCAGTTTTAATCACCTGCATATAACAACTTGTTGAACGCTTAAGGCAAGTGCAAGATCATGAGTTCTGTTTCTGGACCAAAAAGAAAAAAAAGTTGAGGATTGTAAGTGAAGTTTAAGGAAGTGAGTTTCTTTTTTTCTTTTTCCTTTTTTTTTTAAGCTATATGTTTTTTTGTTGGTGATAGAGTCTGAGGTCTTTTTTACTTTATATGGGGGAACATCTAAGTCAATCAAATAAAAAAGGTGTTTAAAATATACATTTAAAAAGCCTAGAAATTATCACATATATAAAAAATACTACCTTTTATGTAGTATTTACCTTACTAAAACTTGGGTCAACTTCTTTTAGAGGACAAAATAATAAACTATAGATAAACTGCTGATAAAATCTATAGTTTATTAGGTAATAGTAAACTGTTTAAGTAAAAGAAAAGCTGTTTGAGTAAAGTGATTGTAGCTTTTATTTCCTTTGTAATTCATGGTTTCTGACAATAAAAAGTGATTAAATCTTAATTTGGGGTATTGTTCTCAAACATGGCTAAGTTTTATGTACCGTTTTCTCTGTAGCACTGTTTGTAATTATGTGTCAAAATATATGTCAAAATGATGTCACAGTAAACAGTTACACTGTTGAGTACTTTGTAATTGGAGAGATGAGGGAAAACAGACTAGTAGCATCCTATATATTAACATTCATGTATCTCTACCATCATGGTTTCCATAATTAATTTTCTTTAAAATAAATGTTTAATTTTGCTTTAGAAATTGTAATTTGAGCCAGTCTCTTTCTAGAAAAAAAAAATGTACCGTGGTTGACACCAACCCCTTTTATTTTTTTTCAGGTAGTTCAACTGATTAGCACTGAGATACTACCTTATGCCAATTTTATTCCTAAGGAATTTGTTGGTCAGATAATGACAATGCTTAACAAGGGCTCAATACATTCTCAGTCCTCTTCATTTACAGGTATATTATTTTAATCATTTTTTTAGGTGTTAGGAAGTACTGAAGCATTGTCAAAGATGAGGTAAAATATTTAATCCTATGATTGTGGTCAATACATATTGGAGAGGTAATTTTTTTTAAAGAGAAAAAATAAAAATGATAGAGATTTCATAACAATAGGAAGTTAACAATGATTAATATATTGTGTATTACTATCTTCAAAGTAGTTAATAAGCAGTATTTTTGGGGGGAGAGTAATTTTTAAGAGTATAAAAATAGAACAGTAAGCTTTATAAGGAAAAAATATGACTATCCTGTAAGTAGAGTATTTATTTGCCAGTCTCAATTAATTGTATTGTGTGTAGCACTTACAGAATCTGATGAAGTTATGCAAGCTGACAAGTTACCAGTTTTGTGAAGTCATAAATTATTGAAAGGCATTATAATTTGGGGAAAATAGGGCTATATGCTACTGTTGGATATGTTAGTTAACTTCTCTTGAGTGTCAGTTTTACAGTCTTTAAGATGAAGATATTAATACCAGCTTTTCAGGACAATTGGGAAAAAATAAGATGCGTTAACATTTGTTAGGGAACATTTAGTGGATAACTGCTCTGTATGAAATGTTATACTAGAATATTATCTCTAAATATTTCTGTGAGGATAGGTATGTCCATATTATAGAAGGTGAAAGTACTTTTTAATATAGTTGAAAAAATCGTACACATTCTAAAGGATGAAGGCTAAATTCATACTTTAAAAAATTAGTTATTTTTATTAGATAATTCTGCCTTAATGCTGATATATAGGTTGTTTCTTGAGTTTTGTTTTGTTAAGACAGAGTTTTACTATACAGTTCATGGTGGCCTTGAGCGCATTTTGTAGTGAGGGCTCAGCCTCCCAAGTGCTGGAATTGGAGGCATGTGCCACCACACTCAGTCTTTTTATTTCTTTTATATAAATCTGTTTTCAAGTTATAAATGTAACTGTGGCATCATAATTTTTTTCTTTGAAATGATTTAAAGATTGTAAATCAGTTCAGAGCATGTCAGTTCTCAGAATTTAGTGGAGCCCTGGCTAATTTTGTGCTGCTTATTGTAGAGTAGTATTAATGCATACAAGTGGCCACTAGATGTCTCTCTTAGTATATACAGTACTTAACGAATTAGTTTTCCTAGTCCTGACAATTTTAAAAACTAGCATAGTAACATGCAAATTTATTTTGTTTTGTTTTGTTTTTGGTCTTTTTCCTTTTTATCGGTACCAGGGATCGAACTCACGACTGCCTGCAAGGCAGGCGCTTATGCTGCTGAGCTAAATCCCCAGCCCCCATAACATGCAAATTTAATAAACATGAGAATCTCAGAGGAGAAAAAATTGAAGCCCACTTATATTAATATAATAAACTTTTTATTAAGTGTATACATTTTTCCTAGATAATTTTAATAAAATATACATTAAGAATTAGGTACAAATATCCTAAGGTAAATGAGGGTTGAGTTTCAGGTATATTTTTTCTGGCCATTTTTTAATAATATTCCATGCCGTTTATAGCACTAAATTTACCAAAACAAAAAGGATTTATGGTCATTCTTCCAACGATCTTACTGTAAGGCACATTTTCTCAGCTTTGTCTTCGAGTTTTTGTTAACAATATACATACAAAGTCATTCCTTGCTATTTAAGGCCAACCTATGAACACAGAGCTTCCAGTAAACATTTTGGACCTCCACTCTGAACTGACTGCTAAAGTTCTCAGTTGTGAGAGAGAAAGATTGAACAATGAAGAGGAACTAAAAAAAGCGGGAAGAAAATAGATGAGAACCATAGAAAATGGAAAAACATACTACTAATAGGAAGATCAAAAAGAAAAAATGTTTATTTATATTCATGAAACAAAAAATATTATGAAATAAGGAGCAATATGAACAAAATTCATAAACACTAAAAACATAGCTGAAATCATTTCAGTGAAAGGTTGGAATAAAATATTAGGAAATAATCTTGAAAGTAGTACAAAAACAAAAAAATGGATAATTTGAGAAGAAAGAAGTGAGTAAATGAAGGCTGAAAAATAAGCTAAAGCCGATGTTCTAAAATCTGACAATTGGTGTTCCAGAAAGAACAACAACAACAAAAAACCCCTAGAAGACATTATCAAAAAAACAAACTGAAGAAATATACCTGCAAATTAAAAATGGCTGCTTAGTCCCCTGAACAGCAAATGACCAAAGATGCTTAATAAGGTACATATCATAAAAATATCAAAAAATCTAATATAAAGAGAAGATCATAAAAAATTTCACCCCAAAAGTTCCAAGACAGCATAAGAATTCTCAGTTCCAAAAAAATTCTCAGTACAACACTGGATGTTAAAGACATTAAACAATGATTTTAGATTTACAAATTTTAAAAAATAGGCATTTTTGGACCTATACACACTGTTGGGCAAATACGAATATAAACCAGTAATCCTGAAATTTCAGCAAGCAGTATAATGGAGGACAAGCTATACTCCAGAGTTTTTCCTTCAGGAAGACTAAAATGGATCATTGAGAACTCACATTACAAATGCACTGGTGATGGTGATATTGCTACATACCACTTTTTTATTTTAAAGAGAAAATAAAAAACAGTTTCAAAACAGGTTAGCAGGAGAGTTACAATGTGCTAATATTGTTCAGACAAGATAATTAGGCTGATACCACATTTTTTGGGTTCCGCAGTAAAATAAACATTTTCAGAAATAAGAGGTCTCAAAAAGTTTACTTTGCATTAATTCTTCCTTAGAAAAATACTTTAGAATATACTCCATGATAACAAAAAAGATAAACCAAGAAAGCAAAAGGAATGAAATCTGGGAAGCAAGATCTAACATATGGGAGAATACAAACATTTCCCAGGGTGATGGCCGTAGACTACTTTAGTGTTACAGCTACACAGCACAACTAGAGAACTGGAGTAGAAGTCAGGTTCCCAAAAAGATGTTGCCAGGAAAGGAGGAAAAACATACTGTTATTGCAAGTCTGACCCAAAGAAAACTGTTAAGATGAAATGATGAGGATAGACAGCCTTGCCTGTTTTTGATCTTATGAGGGGGAAATTTTCGCATACATATGTGCATGCCATAGGTTGTTCATAGATGTCTTTCATCAGATTGAGAATTTCCTTCTATTCCTAGTTTGCTAGAATTGTTACATTTTATTAACCATCAAAAATTGATTTTACAGAAGCAGAGATTGATATTCGTTTGAGAGAAGAATTTTCTAAAATGTGTTTTGAAACATTGCTGCAGTTTTCCTTCAGTAATAAGGTCACAACACCTCAAGAAGGCTACATCTCACGAATGGCACTCTCGGTGCTTTTAAAGCGGTCTCAAGATGTTCTACATCGCTACATAGAAGATGAAAGATTAAGTGGTAAATGCCCTCTTCCAAGGTATATATTTTGTTTTATTAAAGAAAGAAACTAATATAATTATTAATTACAAAGACAGATCCAAAAACCAAGTGTCTTCATAAATGATCTAGACTACTCTGAGGCTATTTATTATCATTTTATTTACTTCAGACTGTGTAAATATTCATAGATCTCACTGCAAATATCTTAATGTGTTTTATCATGAGATGTGTTTTCAGATCTTAGGAGCTTAAGTACTACATAATACATGTCCCAAATTACCTTATTTAATCTGAAATTTTTGAATTGCAAAACATATTGTCTACCATACTTCTACATAAAGAATTTTGAATCTGTCTGATTATATGATATTTCTCTACAGTGAAAATACTACATAAGTCATATCCAAAAAATGTGTTGTTTTGTAACTATTTCCAGGCTTCTCTTTGTCAGCTTGCCATATATTAGATTTTCTCTTTATCTAATCTACTTAATTTAGCCTTTGAACCTATACATATTGATAGCCTTCTCATCTATCCAAGCTATTTTAGTGGAAGGGTTACTAGGCCTTTGTGTTAAACCAAGGCTAATCAAAGCTAGGATATGGACCAAAATTCATCAAACAAATGAAGAAAACAACATAATGTGAGAGGACAAAGATATCAATCATGAAATAGGAAAATCATTGTGGTTTCTGTTTCATATAGTTTTACTGAGAAGGCAAATCACTTGCCCTAAGTCTTTATTTACCTTCTTATATACTTTAATTTCTGGAGGTAGAACTGACCTGTTAAAGAATACAGACATTTAAATTCTTTTTTAAGAATTGTATGAATACCCTTTCCTCCATGTTTATTTAGCATTTTAAATGCTAAAGTTTACTATTTATTTCTTAATTGATGAATGAAAAAGTCATATAATAGTTGCTTTTTATTTTTTAATTACCAATGCTCCTTAATCATTCTTACTTTTTTTAGGATTCTGCATATGTTGAATTTCTAGGACATAAATTACAACTTTCCTCTTCAATTTATATGTAAAAAAAATCCCATTCCAAATATAGTTGTTAAGTAATTTAGTTATGAATATGGCTAACAGTTGACTAATGAAAGTTGATTCATAAAGTGTACTTGGAAATGTAGTAATAAAATTGCTTCAAGAAGTATATTATTTATTAGATTGTAACATACTGTTTGATTTCAGAAAGCATCCTTTCTTTTTTTTTCTGTTCTCAGTATTTTGAGCCCTATTCATACTTGTGCTATGCAGTTACACTGGGTTAGCTTATGTACAGAATCACTAAATTGATTTCTAAAAAGCTACATTACAATATTATACTTCCATGGTTACAAAGAAGGCTTGAAATGGTTCTCCATCATAGTATTAGAAAATTCCCACCTATAGAATGGAAACATAGATTCATACTCAGAATGGAGTAAAGGGAACTGTACAGCAGAAATTTTTACTTTTTACCTGGATCAAACACCACCCTTTACTCCAAATTTATTTGTCATTGTTAATATCTCCAAATAGTGCCATATAGGATTGATTTCTAACATTTTTTTTGTTGTATTAGAAAATTAAATAAGTATCACTGCAATTTTGAATGTACTTTAAACAGCATGGTAAAATGTGTGCCAGTTCGTAACTGTAATGTTTCTCTTTGGCAGATTTCTTTTAGTGCTAATAACTTCAAAAACATTTGTAGAGAACTTTTAAAACCATACTTTATAAATATTTTAAGTAGTATGTAAAATACTTTACAAATAAACTTAGATTTGAGTGAGTAGGTTGCACCTCTCCTTTTAAATTGGTAATTTGTGGTAAGAATAATTGTAAATCAGATTTGTACCCTAAAGTATATATATGTATATGTCCTGTTAATAGTTATGAAATGCTTTTTCCTTTTATGAGAAGTTAAAGCAAACATTAACTTTATATTGTGTTCAGTAATTTTTCAAAGTTATTTGTACAAATCTTATTTTTAAAAAGTATGCATGGCATATTTAAAAATCTTGACAGGAGTCGTTTCCCCTTTTTTTAGGCAACAAGTAACAGAAATCATATTTGTTTTAAAAGCAGTCAGTACTCTCATTGACTCACTTAAGAAAACTCAGCCAGAGAATGGTAAGTGCTTAGAAACTCAGTTATCCTAAATTTTTAACATTTATGTTCTTAAAGAAATTCATAACAAAATAAGAAAATAACAATAGTTAATGCAGTGTATCATCTAAAACTGGTTACTAATAGTAAACTTTTGCTTTACTGTTAAATAGCTGAATTTTAGGAACATAAAAGCCCTTAGACTTTCTTTTCTCCACTTTTCATGACAACAGATCATCAATTCTGCCAGGATGTCACTAAGTGAAATTAAATAGCAGTTTAGATAACTTATGAAAAAACTAAATTGGTCTGAATTCAGTATGTTGCAAGGACAGTTCATATTTCATAATTATTTTTTTGTGCTGGAAATCGAACTCAGGACCTCATGCTTGCCACACAGGCACTGTGCCACTAAGCCATATCCCCAGCCATATTTAATTATCATGGATGTACAAGATTACTGTTTTTGGAATAAATGAGAAGGCTTTTTATCTGCTTTTACTGACTTTATAAATATAAGTTATATAAATAACTGAGTCATTTTTATAGTTTTTTCATTTGTTTTCCCTTTCTCTTGTTCATTTCTACTTAATCCATTCTTCACATTATCAGAAATGATTTTTCACTGTATGACTTTGATCCTTCATCTTTTTATTCCCTCCAAACACAAAAAATCATTTTCATTTGCCATTTCCTACCAAACTGCTGAGTACTACAGTCTGACTTCATTCTGTTCATGTGTTACTTCCAACTAGATTTCATTTATTCTATCTATGCCACTAAATTAAAATTCTCAGAGTTCCCAAGTGTTTCCAACCTTTCATTTATTTTCTTCGGTTGCCTATATCCATCTGGATCAAACACCACCCACTTTTGAGCCTTGTTGTTAATCTCTTAAATATGATGGCTCTTTGCAGTGAACTCCTAGCACTTTCATTTGTACCTTGGTTTTGAAACATTATTTTTAATTGCAGTTAGATATGTACATGATTCAGCTCCCCTTACCTTGTAAGCATTTTGAGAGCCTTTTTGAGCGTTGTTTGTACTATTTTGAATTCTCTACAATATTGCTTCTCAAAGTGTGGTTTGCTGGACCAGCTATTGGTTTTAAGAGTGTGTTAGGGAGCTAAGACAAATAGTTGTATCAAAATATAAATCAGTTGTGTTACTAAATTCAGCTAACTTTTTTTTTAAACACAAGACTATGTTAAAGAGGACAGTAGTATGTTGATTTACATTCTAGTATGAGCTTATTTTTTTTAGCAGACCAACAATTTAAACAGCATTTTGGTTTTTCTGGGTTTTTTGTTTGTTTACGTTTTTGTGGTGCTGGGGTTCAAACCTAAACAGGGCCTACATGCACTCTACTATTGAACTACATCTCCATCTTCAGGCAAAATTACTTTTAATATACCAAAATAAAGGAAATTTTCAGTAATTGACTAATCACTTAATGGCAGGATATGCCTATCAGAATTCACTCATTGGTTCTTTGACCTTAAAAGGTTATTATACTAAAATCTTGTGGGGTTTGTTTTTGTTTGTTTGTTTGTTTTGGGGGTCTTTTTGAGACATGGTTTCACTATGCAGTTCATGCTGGCCTAGAACTCACTTTGTAGCCTAGAATGGCCTCAGTCGTCCTGCCTCAGCAGGAGGAATGGCAGCAATCCTCCTGCCTCAGCTTCCCCAGTGCTGGGATTACAGATATGTACCACCATGCCTGGCCTTAGCTTATACTAAATCTTAAGGGGAGTTCCCCCTTTATTTCTCTTAACCAAAAGGCTGGAGAAGGGGAGGATAAAGTAAATCTTAAGGGGAGTTCCACTTTTATTTCTCTTAACCAAAAGACTGGAGAAGGGGAGGATAGAGTAAAATTTTTAAAAAAACATCTAGAGCAATGTCCTGAATTCATCCACTCATCCCAAAATTTTTTTCTTTAGTGTTTTAATTGATTTTCCAGTGAAGGAAAGCCATGCACTGATTTTCCAGAGACCAAGAAATTCTTTATTCCAATGTTAAATGCTTGAAGCTATATTTTATATTTTATTTATTATTGCCAGAGATGTGCTAAATGTAACCGGAATATTTACATGCATAGAATTTGCCTTATTTCATGTGATGTTTAGACAATCGCCAAGAATTTAAGCATATACGTATAAAGGGAGGAAAAAGAAGGGAAATTCTTTACAAAGCCATTGGGCTACGAATAGGGCAGTGTCTCAGTTACTTTTTACTTGTTACTGAGACAAAATACCTGGAGCCCATGTTGGGAAAGGAAAGGTTTATTTCTTACAGTTTTTGGAGGTTTCAGTCCACGTTCAGTTGGCTCCAAGGCAGGCGGGCATGGCTGGGCCGCAGTTCATGGCGGCTGCAAACAGCAAACAGGAACCAGCAAAGAACAAGACAAACCTTCTTCCTGCCATTACATCACATCCTGGCTCCACCCCTGTGTGAGTGTAGCACTAACACCATCAATCCAAGCACTAGACAGTGTAGTAATGTAGTAGTGTAGATGGATGATCTAACCTAAATTAATCTTAAAAATTGTTTAAGAGAGTTAGAATTTAGCCTCTGATCATAAGAAGTGAAATTTTAAATGGAATGAAACTATAAATGATGGTGATTCTATATTAGAAAGGTATGATAAGCCGCATTAAGAAAAAAGAAAGCTGGGCCTTGGCAGCTGAAATATGTTATATTGTATATATCCAGTCTAATTCAAGAGATTAGATTTAAATTTAAGATTTAGAGCCAATACACTTCAAATCTACTTAGAACTTTTATTATAGGTTTAAAGTTTTGTAATGGAAAAGGAAGCATTTTTGACATGGAGAGATTTTGTTTTTATCATTTTACTTGATATTTATTTAAAAAGTGGAACAGATAGTGTGTATACACATAAATCCAAAAATAGAAGCCAGGCATATTGGTACAAGCCTGTAATCCCAGCAGTCTGGGAGGCTGAGGCAGAAAGACTGTAAGTTCAAATTAACCTTGGGCAATTTAATGACCTAGTGAGGCTCTGTCCCCCACCATTCCCCCAAAATGGCAGACGCTAAAGGCCCTGAGTTCAGTCACCAGTGCCCTCAAAAATCAAATAAATAAATTTACATGACAAAGTTTTAAGATGGTCTTTCCCCAAAGCAATATCTGCCCTGTTCTTACCTTACCACAAGCAACCATTTTTACTACAGAAGTTCCCTACAGAGGTTTATTATGTACACATAAAATATATATTCTAGTACCTTCAGTTTTGTGTACAAGTGTACCTAATAGCCTACATCATACCTACTGTTTTGAACCTCTTTTCTTGTTTTTTCACTTAATGAAGTTCATGGAAATATTTCATTATCAATAGACTAATAAGCTCTTTTATTTTTTGATAGTCAAATATAAAGTGCTCACAAAAATTTATGGTAGACTTTTAAAAAACATTTTGATTAAAGGAAGGTAAAAGCTTCCTATGAGTTTTATTTCAAATGTCATCTTCATGTGTTTCATTTTCCCCTGATAAGTGAAAAATTGGTTTTTCAGTTAATTCTCCATGTAGACATTCTAAATAAGTTTCACTCTGTATAACCTTGTGTTAAATGATTAATGAAAAGCTTTACAAAAGACAGCTGAAGCACCCAGCATGGCAGCACACACCTGTGATCCCAGTACTCAGAGGTTAAGGAAGGAAGATCTATGTGACTTTAAGGCCAGCCTGAAAAACCCAAAAAACGTAACAAAACAAAAAGACATCCAGGGCAAAATATTTATACTTCCTAGACCAGTGGTTTTTAAGACTTAAGCTTACTCTGAGCAAGTACCTGTTTGACCAAAGAGGTTTGGTGAACAGGTCATGGTTTTCTAAGATACATATTAAGGAATTAGACATTAGATAGAAACATACTAAGGAATTAGATATTAGGTAGAAAAAGTTCTATAATCATACTAATTTTAGAAATCCTGGAACTTTTACTGTAAGCACTCCATAAATTCATGTGAATTATTAGTCCTCAAAAGGAGAGAGATACACAACATCTACCACACTTACTTGACAGGAACTTTTAAAAAATGAGTAAGTAAAGAAGTTGAGAAACTTAATCCTGTATTTTACAACAGAAGTTTCAATAAAGGGAAATGAATGACTTGACCATCTCTCTCCCTTATTTTATAAGGAACTTTGTATAGTTGGCAACCAATAAGTGAGAGTGAAAAACAGAATCAAAATTTATTGCACATTTTATTCTTGCTTTTGTATTATACTTCCTCCACATTAGAGACTTGTCCCACAAAGTGCCATAAAATCATTATGGGAGTGCTCAAAAAACATTTCATTGTATGAGTGCTCAGGAAACAGAAATGTATTATGTGATCTCACAGTATAAGGAGATTATTAACTGATTGGGATGTAACACTTTTGCCCCAGTCAACACACAACCTTTAGCTGTACTAATTGGTCATGATAATGTTAAGAAAGGCGCACGTGGTCTCTTTTCACCATATCTAGTGATTTACATTAAAGGTTAGCAAACAGTATAAGAGAAAGATACAGTGATACCTTGGTATTCGTCTTAGTTGATTCTGGGAGGCTTGATGAGTACTAAAACCAAGAAGTACCAACCAAGTTGTTTTGGCTGGAAAGCGTAGTGAGTCACAAGGCAATTGACCTTAACAGGTTGAAGCCTGAGCTTCAAATACAAAGCAAATGAAAAGCACTGGAACAAAATTTTCACATCAAATGCATTGCATACCCGATTTGATGAGTTTCAAAGAAGATAAGTGCCGAGGTATGACTGTAACTAGATCTAGGTTTGGTAATTTCAGTTTGAAATTAATATCAAGGACGTTACTGGAAAGAGCAGTATTTGTATTTTTAGTAGACTACTGAATAAAAAATGTTTCTAACTATTCTTGAAATGTACACTATATTCTCTGGAAATTACACTGAAAATAGATTATTGTAAGTTACTTTGTTAGCTTCCAAAGCTTTCACAAATTATCATTTAAAATGTACCTTAGCAAATTTGTTGGTATTGAGAACTCTACACGGCAACCATATTTTTTTTTCCCCATGCCTTATTAAATACAGCAAGAAAGCTTCCAAAGATTTTTTTTTTGAAGAAAATGTACCAGATGGTGCAACCTGCATGTTTCAGAGTTTTTTCCTTCCATTGCATTTAACATTGATTGTGTTTATGTTAATTGGATAATTTTTACTGTTTAAATCCATCGTATTTTGGGATTTATTTATTCTTCTTACATTACAGTTGATGGGAATACTTGGGCACAAGTAATTGCCTTATACCCAACTTTAGTAGAATGTATCACCTGCTCATCTTCGGAAGTCTGCTCTGCACTTAAAGAGGCACTGGTTCCCTTTAAGGATTTCATGCATCCACCAGCATCCAAAGTTCAAAATGGAGAATCTTAACCAGCTGCTTTTGAATATGGAGACAGAAAGATACAGTATCTTAAGATTGCTCCTGAGTTTACTGTAAGAAGGACATTTCTTACTACAAAAATTCTTGGCAGTTGTTTGCCACCATTAAATTGTAATTACCTGGGTTCACTAATTCATGTTATAAACTTATACAGCAACAAAGGCCTCTGAATGAGTAGCCCTGTGAGTCTTTAATGAGTTAAGCTGGTGGGAGGGAGAGTTCATACCACAGCATAGCTGCTACTATATCTTTAATTGGTGATTCAAAAGTGAGCTTATGTACAGTTTGTGGTGTATGTGTCAATGATGTACTTTTTAAAATGAAAGAAAAGATAATTCAGATTTATTAGGCTGGTATTTTTGCACTCTTTTTCAAGTGCAAAATTGTACTAAAATTTTATGCAAGATGGTACTGTAACATTCCATATTATTTACAACCAGCCTTTCTAAACAAAGGGAACTGATATACCTGTGTGTATAATAAATAGTACAGTACTGTATAAAATAGTTACATTTATTGTTTAAATTTTTAAAATGTTGATAATGTTAAATGCTTGAAGCTGTATTTATTATTAATACAAAATTGTTTGCTTACATTTTTACTTATAATTTGCTTTCTTATGTGCAGGTAAACTTACCATGTAATCAATTAGTTTCATGCTTATTTTAAATGTGTTATCACTGATCATTAAACATTTGACCAGAAAGGTCATGTGAACACAACAGCAAATAGTTTATGATTTGCTGATTTTTGAAATACAACTTTGAAATGGGTTATTAATTTAATACATTGAGATATATTGTAGCACTGACTCCATACCTCATTTAAATATCTCTTCAAGCTTTCGCTTAAGTCAGTTTTTATATTTGCTGTCTAAATTTTAAAGACTTTTCATATTTTATATTTCTACTGATTTTTTTCTTGTGAATTTGTCTTTGATTTACAACCGAGATAAGATGATTTCAGATGTCCTAAAATTTCACCTGTGAGGTTTTGTTGATTTCTGTGCTTTATTTTATAATGTCTTCTCAAGAAGAAAAACGACTACACTCTCCCAAAACTCTAAAACGTGTGTGTCTATGTGTGTGTGTGTGTGTGTGTGTATATGTGTGTGTGTTAAAAAAAAGACAGGTGTACTTTTGGAGATACTCAAGCATTTAGAAGTGCAGTAAGCCTGCTGCCATGAAGTAAAATGCTAAGTTTGTTTCACTTTCCTATTTGAGTGGAGAAGAAAAGTGCTGTTGAGTGCATTAACTTGTTTCTTTAAAAAAACTGACATTGACCTAGCTCACTATATTTTCTATGTAATGGATTATGCTGTTATATTTTTCTTCTCAGTTAAATTTTCATAATCACTTATGTGGAAACATGAAGATGTTTAAAAGATTGATTTTTTTCATAAATCTCAATGGCATTGGTATTATTTTAATGTACTACAGGGCTTTTGATTTTAATAGTATTTTAAATTTCAACCTCTCCAGAATAATCATAAAATTATAAGAAGCTATTAAAATTGAGTAATGAATGAGCTACAGTTTTGTGGATATTGTAATTGTGTAATTATTTAATTTGTGTTATTATCTGTAACCATACAGTAATGCCTTTTTGAGATAATATTTATTTACATGAATCAATGAATTTCTGCTTTATTATTTTCACCTAAGACTAAGGTAGAATATGTCACTTCATATAATCTGCTTTTAACATTCTCCTTATAAGTTATAACAAATCACTCAAGTTGTATATTTAGTGTATTTTTTATACTTGGATATGTTAAATTAGGGACTTGAAAAAATACAGATATCGATCATAAAGGATTAAAATAGAATAACAATTGTAATACTATTTCAATTGCTGTGAATTTACATGAAGTAATAATATTTCTATTCATGAGAAATAAGAGATTAATGGCAGTTAGGATGATTGTTTTCCAGTGAAAGTTAAATATGAGTCAAAGCTATACAACATACTTACATATTTTGAACTAATGCTGTATTTGTTTTTAGTATCCGAACCATGCCTAATACTTCAAAATATCAGTGTGATGAATGTGTAATCAAAGCTGTCTTATTAAGTATGTAGGCTGTCCCCGTGGTACAATAATTGACAGGCTTTTCTTCCCAGAATATCTTCCATAATTCCCCAGGAACCACTATTGGTAATATGTGCTATCAAATCAGGCGTTCTTCTAGGCTGAGTTTTCTAAAATATGCCTCTTCTTAGAAAGTTGATAGATTGTTCTAAGAGTTGAGTTCTTCACTAATTACAACTGTGTTATGTGAAATTAGATCCTGGGCCATTCAAAAAAGGAGGTTTCAAAGGTGTGTTCATTGCTGCACAACTGAGTCCATAACTAGTCCTGGAACAGGAGCAATTGTGTCCTTGGGTACACATATTAGAAAAATCGAAGAGTAAACCTGGCATGATCACTTTTTGTCACTGAGTGAATATATGCTTCAGGGTTTTTGGACAATAGACATGTGCCAACAATTGGATGATTAAGGTCCCTTTTTATTCTGTCAATTATAAAGGTAACAAACTAATTGTTAACTTGCATAGGTTACTTTTTAGTTTTCAATAATATTATTACTACCAGGAAAAAAATCATATATCTTATTATTTTTTATAACTAGTTTTAAAGTTTTATTAATTTTACCGTATACATTTATTAGAGATTAAACGCCAAAAGGAAACAAAGTGCTTGAAAGGTCTAGCTTAAAATGGATTTTCATTTGCTTTGTTTTTTATTTTTATATTAATAGCTAACAATTGTTTTGTTTTTCTTCTCTATGGTTATTGAATCAACTCTTACCAAATTCTTTAAATTAGAAGATGTGAGCAATTATCTGTAACATTTTATCTTGGAAAATAGCATTTATTTTAGAGCGCAGACTAGTGATAACTATGCTATTTGTGTTTTCTGATATAACCTGAAGAGTATTTTGTTCATTGTCACAATTTGGCATCGCTATTTCCAGGTAATCTTTGGTCAGAAGGTCAGTTAAGAAACCAAATAAGTAGCATTAATTATTGAAGTGTTCCAGAAAACAACGTGAAAAGTATTCCCCATTAGTTAAGTGATGATTATATTCATATTAAAGAAGGATTATGGAGCTATTGTATAATGACTGAATGAATATATCTTCTCTAATTGTAGAGTAATTCATATGGACAACTAAATCCTTAAGAGAACTACTATAGATGAAGTGTTAGCCAAGGCAGAACACTTTCAGGAAGCATCCTGCCTGCACTTAACTTGTAGTTTAACAGCTCAAGAATGAATCAAAATGTTTAGGCTTAGAATACTGTGGGTTATTGTGTTTTATGGAAAACTACTACAGATGTGGACAAAATGGTTCTTTGAAAGCATTGCCAGCAACCTAATACATTCCTTAGATTTCTACTTGTATTTGGCAGTTTTGACACATATGCTTATCTTGCATAAATTATTACATTTTACTAGGCTTAGTAATGATGAGCTGTATTTATCTACATTATGAGAGGGGATTTTACATTTTTAAAATTATATTCATGAGACCAACAGAGGTTCATACAATACAGTGTGTTACTAGCTTATATGTGGGGGCTAGTTTTTAATACTTCATAATCATTTGAATTAAAAATTTTATACCTCTGGAAAGTAAAGTGGTGCTTTCATTTTGAATGACAATTTTTTATAGTATGCGAAAGAAAGCTAATGTGTTTGTGTCCTAACTTATATACAGACCACCTAGAGGAGTTAGATGAATTTCTTATAAATCCTATGATTTTGAATGTATTAACAGTGTTTTTTTTAAGAGCATGGTACATCTTTTTGTGAATATGACTACTCTCAGTAATCTTGACTAATTGTAAAGCAATGACAAATCAATATTCTGCCTTTTAACTTGAAGCATGTTCGGTTTTCAGAGCCTCTGTTTATTTCTAAAACAGAGATGACAACTAATTCTTTAGAGGAGAAATGCATAATTTGAGTTTGGAATTGATTTTAAAATGACATTGTTAGTATAATTATTCAGGTTATTTGGTAAGTTTGGTAGTGTATCCTAAGAGAGATTTTGACTATTTGTTTTCTTTTTTCTTGGCCATCACTTTTTTCCTGCTGTTAAATTTTTTAAAATTATGTTTACTCTTAGTTTCTCCTTTTTTTCCCTCTTCCTTTCTCTGCTTCTCATTTAGTCCTTTTTCTGATTTCACCTCCTCCTTGATCATGAGAAGCAGAGCTGATCATGGTAGAACCACTGCTGACTGCCTTCCTATTACATGAGATTTTGGAAATAACTTCTACTTTTGGCACTATTGCCTTTTTGCAAAGGTGAAATTCCTTTGCCATTTCGAAATAGTGGAACAAGTTGAAGTAATTTGTGATTGTAGCTCCTACAGTCTTTCTGAATCCACAGGATTCAGCAGCCAAGATGCTCTCACAAAATGGGATTGCTATAAATATGATAGCTTCAACAGCTAAACTTGGAACAGTGTGTCTTTGCTATGATGTGGATGGAGAGATGATGCCACTTTTCTCAAAAGAGAAAAATCTAAATTACATGAATTCATGTAATGTAAAATCTGAATTACATGAGTTTTTGCGTTTTGTGGTTTTTTTTTTTTTAAATCTTTGAAGGTGGGTTCTTTCTGGAAGCAAGTGCTTTAAACTATTTTAGGTTTATGTTATGTAAATATTATTGTAGTATTTTCATGCCTACTTTCAAAAACTACTTGAGTTAGCATATTACCCCTGTCATGTATTGCTATTTTTCTGTTGCAAAACAGTGATTTTGATGGAAGATCTAGAATGTTAGAATTCTTATTTCTGAGTGTTTCTAGAATATATTTGGTTTCCATGTCTTTGTTGCTTATGGTGACACAGAGATCAACTGAAACATTCCTAATTATACTAAGGGATTAATTATAGTCTCTCAGGTAAGAAAGAAAATTATTGAATTTACAATTGCTGCAAATATAGTTTCATTAAGTTTTATTTTACACTAAACTCAATAGTGCTATGCTATTATTTGAGAAACTATTGCAAATAATAAAGTATTTCTTTTTGTGAAGTTTTACTAGAAAGGAAAAAAAATCCAAAGCTATAATATTGCACTCTTAATTCTTTTCATCTATAAAAATAAAATAAAATACTAAGCTTTAAACCAAACTGTGCAGGTTTTGCTTGCTTTCTAGCTTTTACTACCTCTGTGTCATAATTGTAACACGTAACATACAGCTCCTGTCTCTTATGGCAGTTGCCATATGGTGTTTATGTCAGACTGGATATATTTATCTAATTTTGTGAGATTCTTTTTAGCTCCCAACACAGTTCTTGAAAGTAGTACCACTGTTGTTATATTTTCTCCTTACAATTTTTATGTTGTTGAGATGTATCAGTTATGTATTATAATCATGAGAGTCTCTTGATGTCAAACTTAAAATTTTTTTTTAGTCTAAAATAGATTTTTCACAAAGCTGCATAGTAATAACTGTAATTGTATACAACTTTAATTCACTTTACAGTTAGCACTAAGCATGATTGTAGGTTTTAATTATGTTCCTGCATTACTAATTTTCTCATTATAACTCAAGGTTGAAATCTCTTTTATAACTTCCCTTCAGATATGATTAATAACTAATTTTTAATATACTTATTTCTCATCCCCATTAGATTTAAAACAGTGACACCCTATATCACCTGACCCTGTTTATAAAGACTTTATATGTAGCAAGTATGTTTAAAGATGGCTTATAGATATGGTTAGTTTGTAGGAAAAAACAAAGACAAATGTTTTTGAGAGCTTTGTTAAGACTGTTAATATAAAAACTGAAAAAAGTAGAAGTACACCGAAAGGCATCAAATATCTCAATACAGTAAGTTTGAAAAGAAAGTATACTTGGGACTTGGAGTAAAAATCCCAGGTCAAGTAAAAAATGTGGATTAGACTTTTTAGGGATGCTGATGATTAAATCTAGGGCCTTACGTGTGCTAAGTATATGATATGCCTTTTAAGAGCATTCTTTTTTTCTTGATGAAGTTGTTTTGAGACTGTCTGTATAAATGCCAGACCATCCTGCCACCTCTCAAAATTTGTTTGAACTTTTTTTTTTTTTTTAAAGCATGCATTTGTACTCCCAGCTATTCAGGAGACTGAGAAGGGACGCTTGCTTGCACCCAGGAATTTGACACTAGCCTGGGTAACATAGAACCTATCTTTTTTTTTTTTTTTTTTGTCTTTTTCATTTTTATCGGTACCAGGGATCGAACTCACGAATGCCTGCTTGCAAGGCAGGTGCTTATGCCGCTGAGCTAAATCCCCAGCCCCCATAGAACCTATCTTAATCAACCAGTCAATCAGTCAATTCCTTTTTTGCAAAGTATAATAGAAGCATAAAACAAAAATTCCTGTTTTTTGAGTGTATATTGTATAGTAATTTTTGTAATTCCTAATTTTTTTCCATCTTGGAATAGAATTTATTTTTTTTAATTTTTTATTGATGCATGTTTGTAATACATGGTTACATTCATCATGGGGAATTGGTAAATATACATGACATATGTTAATTCTTTTTTTTAAATTCCCTTCCCCTCCCCTCCTTCCCTCTCCCTACATCTCTTGCATCACTTTATAAATATAGTGTTTGTAGTATATAATGGTTACATTGCTCATAGGGACTTGAGCATGTTTAATTCCTAATTTTAATAGTATTTCTGGAGTACCTAGAATTTGTAGGCCAGGGTTTTACCTGTGTTACTCTGTTACCTATACTACTATTTCTTTCTCACAGTTTTGTAAGAAAGTTGTCATAAGACAGAAGTCAGAGTTTAAAATCACATACCTAAGATCTTGGTGATCCACCATGTATTGCTTCAGACGTGGTTCTACTACGATAATTTCGTATTTTTTTAAAAAAATTATTTCTACCCCATTAAAGCCCAACCCTTAAATTGAAAATACCTTTGAGACAATTACTATATCTATGAATAAGCAATTGGGACAACACACTTGAATATTACAAAAAAACTTCCTGTACTGGGAAAAAATATTTGTTTAGTAACTACGACCACCATATGAGCTGCGTTGAATTTTTATTATTCAAGTTTAAAACACATCTAATTTGCTGTTTTTTTAAAGAGCCTGTAGTATGCAAGCAATAACATAGTGGGTGAGAGATGACAGTTTGGGCAAGATTTTTAAAACTTCAAATCTCAGTTGTTAACTTACTAAATATGTAACCAGAGCAAGTTAATCTTTTTTTTTTTGGTTTTCTTATCTATTACATGTAGTTGTTAATGGGCTTTCACAGAACTGATTTTTAGAATTAGATGTTATAAAGCATTATGGTTAGAATATGTTCAGTTTTAGTAATATGAACAAAACACATTTGGCATACGCAACTCAAGAAATGGACAGAAAATTTTGATTATCATAATAGGGAATAGTTCTTGCCTTTTGCTGGACAAATACCAGGTGTTAAGAATCTAGTGTCCTCATAACATGGTTATATAAAGAAATCACTAGTGACTCTCAGGTGCTTGTTACAACTAGTTGAGTCAACACATATCTAAAATAATACTGAATATAAGACTAACCAAGTACTAATTAATTATATTTTAGTACTTGTATTATGTTGGGCATTGAGCTAATGCCCTTAGAAATTTAGTTTTTCAGGGAACAAAGATCTTTAACAAGTATGCAAAGTACAGTGAAAGACAAGTACAGATTAATACCAGATTATAACCTAGAGCCTTCGCCTAATTATCTGTGGTTCAGGTTAATGTTTTTGTTAATATTCAGAAGGAAAAGCAATAAAAAGGCTCACTGGTGGAGACAACTTAAAGTAAACCTTAGTGGCTAGATAACTTTTGAATGAAGCTAAAGGGCATTAGAGTATATTTTAGGCAAAGATAATCTGAGCAGATGTATCTGAAATATGAGTAAGCAGTGTCTTTTGGTGTTACCTGAAGCAAAATGGCCATGAGGGATTGAGGGCCAATCAGGAGATTCCTTGAAAGCCAAGTAGAATACTTGAATACTTATTTTTAATAAAAATTATGAAAGTAAGGAAGATAAACTTGCAGTAATAAGCAAGATAGAGTATGTGAAATCCAAGTAAAAACTAAAAAGCTGTTGCCATTTTTCTACAAAGGTAATGTTAAAGGATTAGCTGGGAGTGGTCACATTTGAAGGACACTTAGATTCTGGGTATTACAGATAAAAGTTGATCATGGACAGCACATTATATATGGATTGAGTGGCGTTAGCACTATCAAAAGCAGTTGTGGAAATCTGATGTAGTACAGTAGCATTACTAAAAGTTGGAGATTTTATTACTCTAGCAAATCTCTATACTTTGGGCCAAACAACTGTTTAATAGCTGTTTAAAAATCTTTGCCTTTACAAGTGAATTGGCTTTGGAAAGGATAATGTGATTCATTGTGTAGTGAGTTAGCAGTCAATGTGCAGTGAATATAGTGGCCTTGTAATAATAGAAAATGTGATAGTGAACTTTGTGCTTTGTTAGGTAAAACATATAACTGCAAATTGGTTACACATGCATATAAATATTAACTGGAAAGTTCAGATTTCATATCCCAGGCAAAAGTACCTTTGGTATTTATTTTAAATGCTCAAGATTAGCTTAATAGCCCAGAGATACAGCTTTGTGCCTTAGTGCCTACCTCGTTAATAAAAGGTCCTGAGTTTGAGTCCCAATATACCCCAAAAATTAGTATAACATGTCAGTAGGCATAATAAAATATACTTTATTTTGCGAATAATCATATACAAATGTCCTGAAAACATGCCAAACAAGTTACTTTTTAATTTGAAAACTTGTACTTCAAAGAATTAGGTCACCCATCTTACATACCATTTGGTTAGACACAGTAAATTTGCGGTGAGACTGTTGGCCTCAGAAGCTGCTGTCAAAATTACACTGCTGTTATAAGGAGGGAAAATTTTTTTTCCCCCAAAACTCCGTTATGGGCAAGTCTTCCCTGCGCATTGCCAATAAACTCTGCTCTCAGGCTCATAGCCTTTTAGTTGCGTGAAAGGATCGAAGTGTTGAGAAAGTCCCAAATTGTAGCTAAAGATGTTTTTCATTTCCCTCCATTCCTCATTTTTGCTATATGTAGTCTGGATTTTCAGGAGCTTCATGACTAACAGGACTGCCAAATGTAAATATAGAGGATGTCCATATAAATTTGAATTTTGAATCATATCTTTAGCACATGGGACATTTATGCTTCTAAAAAATATCTTAAGTTACAGGTGAACTGAGTGACCTGTATTTTATCTGGCAAGTGATAGAACTTTTGGCGCCACTAAAACGATAGAAATACGAAATAAAGTGGCCTTTAAGAATGTGGAGAGAGAACCCTGGACCACTGAGGTCTGGCTTTTCTCTCTGCCAGACACGTGGTGTGGGGGCATACATGTAGGGGTGGTACCTAATGGGCATTACTAATACAGGAGTATCCCACTGGAATTCATTTCAGGCCACAGGTAAATTGCCTAGGGGCGCGGGAAGGTGACCTCAAGATAGAGCCCCTTGGTTCCGTCTCCCACCGCTGCAGTGTCCCATTTAGGGCAAAGTCCTTTCAGCAAGTCCTAATAACTTTTTTTTTCTTTAATGTTAACGTCCCATTAAATAAAAAACTAAATGGAAAGCAAAGAAAAAGTTGTTTGGGGCGGGAGCAAACTAGGCTCCTGAGCAGGCGCCTTCGCTCAAACTTGACCGGGGAAAGGGTGGGGGGTGCACAATTCCGCGAGCCTGCGCATTATGGTGAGTTGCACGGCGGCTTTCCCGCCTATTTTCTGCCGAATGTAGCACTGGGGCTACGCCGCGGGGGTGGAGCACAGCAGGGCTGTGTCCTTGCCGGGGAGGAGAGGAGGCGCCGGAAAGTTTAAACAAGGCCAAAGTACAACGTGTCCACTTCGACGACGGTGCGCGCCGCCATCTTCTTTGCGGGCAGAGACCAGCAGAATACTGGGGCTCCCTGACCTCCACTGAGACTTGGGGGGCCGGACCGCGGCCGCGGCACTGCGGTGACGCGGAGTCGGGGGTGCCCTTTGGGGGGCTGATTCCTAGAGGCGCGTCGGAGCTTGCTAAGGCGGGAGCGGGACGCCGCCTTTCTCCCGGATGTAAGATGGCGGCTCGGGGGCGGCCCGGCGCGCGGTCACGTGGTGGGAGCAGCGCGCCAGCCTCCCTCCTTAAGTGATCTCTATGGTTCGTCCAGACGCACAGGAGCTGCGGAGCGCGAGACGGCAGTGTGTCCGCTCGGCCGAGCGACGGCGCCCAGCCAGCCGCACAGCGGTTTCAGTTTGACGGGGTTTCCGTGTGCTGTTTTCGCCTCTTGCGGAGCCGTGCGGGATTTCCCCAAAGGGTGCTGGCGAACCAATGGCCTGGGGATTTCCGGGCTGTGCCGCGGCCCCGAATCGCCGCTGTGGGACGCGCCCGGGCTTTCGCGGGGCGGAGAGCGGGCGGCGGGGCGCGCGGCAGGCGGGCGGGGCGCGGGGTCTCGCGGGCCAAGCCCGGGAGCGCTGCTTGCGGCTCGGGGACCGTCTCGATTCCCGTGGCGTCTCGTCGCGCTTTTGCCGCCTGTTTCCTGCTTTCATGTGGCGCGGGGAGGAGGGCGCGGCTTCCTCTCCGGAGCGGTCGCGGGAGAAGACGCCCGCGGGCTGCCGCCCCGGCCCAGGAGCTCGTGGCGGCGGCGGCAGCGGCGGGGCTGGGCGGGGTCTCGGGCGCGGCGCGAAGCGAAGAGCGGGAGGAGAAGGGGCGGCTGCGGTGGGGCGAGAACGGAGGGGCGCGCGCCGCTCGCCGCCCTGCGCGTGTCCGGAGGCTCCCGACACCATGGCCCTGGCTGAGGTAGTAGTTTGTGCTGTTGGTCGGGTTGTGACATTGCCCGCTGTGGAGATAACTGCGCAAGCTACTGCCTTGCTAGTGCTGGTGATGCTCAGCGCCGCGGAGGACAATGGCTGGGAATCCCCTTTGTTTTCCGGGACGCGGGGATAGCCCGCCGAGCCGGCCCGGCCCTCGGAAACCGTTAGCTCAGCTCTTCGGGGAACCGGGGCGCGGGCGGAGGGCACCGCGCTGTATTTTAAAGCTCTGGGAAGAGCCGAGCCATTGGATTCGCTCTCTTGAAGGAAGGAGTGAAATTGTGCAAGATATTGACACGTAACTTTTCACCCCAAAGGATTTTAACGCCTTTTTGAGTAACCCAAGATTTAGATTGTGACTATTTTTGCTTAATTCTGGTTGCGGTGGAATGAGCTATCCAGCCTTGCACAGCAGGTACTGGGGCCAGAGTAGCAGACCCCACAATGACAAAGTTTGTGCTTTAACATTTTAGATCTGGTGTTCTCTTGCTGTAGGTGCATTGAAGAGTCTTTTTAAAATGTAAAACCTAAAGTAATTTAGAGCTTGTATTTAAAACTTGGTTTGCAACTCCTTGCATGAGAAGCTTTAAGTTTATAGTTAAATACATTACTCAGGTTTTTTTTATGTTACAAAGCAAAAAATAAATTTTATTCAGAGTACTGTCATGTGAGTGGTTTTGTTCCTTTTTTCCCTCAACTTTGGAGAATTCAAGAAATTTTGCTGAGATGGTGGGTTTTCTGGATTTGTTGGCCCTCGATCCTTATGTGTTATTTTATATCTTTGCATTTAGTGTGGGAGTAAAGACTCGAAGTTGGAAGTAAGGTTTCTAGAAATTTAAATCTCATATCGAGTTTGATTCATGAGTAACTTGTACTTCAATAGGAAAATACAGTTTTTAGAGAGGAATCGTAGTTGAGGTAACTAATCTGATATACTAAATACCCTAAATTCTGTGTAAAAAATTAGAACTTGTATTTTTAAAATTTTATTTTCACTGATGAAAGTACTTGGTCAATTTTAGTACCTTTCTGTGTTTCTTTTTTGGGGGGATGTCCTCCGTTTTTTGCTAAGAAAAAAGCTTCACAGGAGAAATTTCTTTGAAACCAACCAAATTTCTTTATCTCTCCAATAGGAGTTTGCTGCTTTTGTAATTCAGAAGTGATCTTGTAAGGGCAGTCTGGCTGAATTTGGTTTAACCTTGAGGATAACCTTACTATTTAATATGATCTCCTGAGGATGCAGCTTCCTCATGTGAAAAGAATAGTAAATACCTCAAAATCCAGAAAGTATTTGTATGTTGGCTTTAAATTTTTATTGCTAGCAAAGAGCAGAGTAAATTCAGATGTGCCCTTTTTTTCTTTAAATGATGCAAATCTCTGGCATGCTATGTCAAACCTTGATTTGTGGAGAAATTAACAAGTGTTAAATTCTACAGTTACATTTTAAAAAAACTTCATTGAGTCAACTAGGCTAATTGATCCTATACACTTTAATATTTTATGGCTAATCAACAGTTACTAATCCACACCCCTGAAGTACTACAAATTGCTAATTTTTTTAAACTTTAAACAGATGTGAGCAGAAGCTCTGAATGGCCTGTGTAAACTAGTTTATTTTGTGACTAAAAGTAAATTTTGTCTAGAACTATATACAGTTCTGCCCACAGTAACTTTTTTTTTAGTTGAGTATGTAGGTCTTTGCACATATTCTTTCCTAAGTTACAAGAGAGAATGTTGCCACCAGCTGACTTTTGTCCCATAGTACAGTGCTGCTCTAATTTTTTTTTTTTTAAATAGGTCTACTTTTTACTTTCACAGTGCTGCACACTGGTAAAAAGGACCAGTGGAGTATTTTCAATATTGATGGTTCTTAGAAGATGAATTTGCATTATCAAAAATACAGCTTTCTTGTCAGTATTATTGACATTTATTTGGTGCAGTTAACTTCTTGTTAAAGGTCTATTGTCAAGCGTGTAAGTAATTTGTAGTTTCAAAAAGTCAGTGACGGGAAGAATAAAGTAGTATTTTGAGTAAACCAAAGGAAAGATGAGTTAGATAATGACATTTTAATAAATGCCAGCTTGGAAACAAATGATGTTATGGTATACAGGATGTACCATGTGGAGATGATTCTTGGGGAGCATAATTTTATCTCCAGAGCTCCTAATTGTCTATTATACTCATAAAAATATGAGTTATTTTAAAATAAAATTATCTTTTGGCAGATAGCACAAGACTGACTAGCCAGGGGACCACACTTGGGACATTGTCTTGTGGCATAGCCCCACAGCATTCCTGCCAGAGGCATCTGACAGCAAAGATAAGCTCTACAGTTTGTAGGACTAGAGTACTATGAAGACAGAGTAATTCATTATCAGACATTTTCTTTCCTGTTGCTTGTTACACTTCCTTGCCTCCACTGGGAAAAACCTGAGATGTATTTTCACTTTCCCACTGAATAATCCTCTTTATAATTTTTGTAACAAGAGACAAATGGAACACTCATTTTCAAAATTTAATTAGGTCAGAGCAGTAATACCCAAAAGGAGAATTATGACCATTGTCATAAAATTTGAAAGGTTAGTGGTGCCACTAACATAATTAAGCAGAAATACTAAAATTACCCGTATGACTGTCTAATGAAGTTCATTAAGTGTTTTGCTGGGTTCCACCATTGGGGAACCAAAATAAGTTGTACAGCTAGGTCATTGCCCCAAGGGAAAGCGCAGAAAAGGTATTACATGGAATGTTTAAGAATCAAAATTTGGATGATGAAAAAAGCATCCGTGACCTATTTCACTTTGGGGATCTAGCAAAAGAGAAAAAAAGTGGCTGAAAGCTAAAAGGGAAGTATATACCATTAGAATAAGATAAGTGCCTTTATTTAAAAAGTCTTTAGTACCACTTTCTGAAAATACACTACTTGCTTTTGAATTAAGTTTAAACCTGACAATTACATTATAATTCAAGAATATTTTATCTTCTAAGTTAGGGTTTTTCAAAAAACCAAGTAGTGTCATACGTCACAGAAAAGTCTAAAAGTGTCCACACATTGGCAATCATTTATGTAGTTACGATGCTGTTGTCTATCAGAAATAATCTCTGTTCTGTGGTCAAATAATAAAAAATTGTAGGTGTTTGATATTACTTTGAACATAGCTATTTAAAAAGGTTGCAATTCTATACAACATATTTAAAAAGCACTAAAAGCATTGTACAGATACAAAGGAGGGCTGATTTTAGTCCCAGTAATGCTATTCATGTTACTATGATAGTATCAAAAAAATTATATCAAAAAATTAGACGAAAATATTTTCCTGATTTTTTTTTAAACATCTACATTCTCTTCAATAAGATTTTAGGTGAATTGTCAGAATAAAAATCTTTCTGACCTTTAATCCTTAATGAGTGAGACTCACAAAGTAAATGTGTTCTAGATAAATACATTCATATACTTGTGTTTAACAGAATTGAATACTTACTATGTTCTAAGCACTAGAGATATACACTAGGTAAAACATCAAAAAGTATAATCTTACAGGAATAACATTTCTCTGGTAATTACAGATATGTAGTGAGAACTATCTTTGGGTCACCTGAATTAATTTCAACCCTAAATTCCACTCAAGCATCTTCTCTAGAGCTCTGGATCTAGGACCGCTATTATAATTGTATCTTCATTTAAGAAAATGTTAAATGTGTACAAAGGGTACCATTTAGTCCCTAAACAAGATGACATGACAGGAATTATGTGTCAGTGAAACTAGAACATCTTGAAAAGCTTTAATAGAATCATAATGCATGTCTCACTTATGAAACATTTCTCCTCATGGAGAAATCTAGGGTGTGTAGCTAGGTGTCACATAATTTGTAAATTTCTATATGTTTTAAGAGTTCAAAGATTGAGAAACTGAGTGGTGTTGGGAGGGGCTTATAGAAGGTACCTGTCTAGAGCAGAAGTATAGAATTATTTTAATAGTACAGGCAAGGCAGAGCTGATTAGGAGTATTGCTGAGTTTGAGAACAGGAAAGAAAATCAAATGCTGCATTTATTTTACCTTCCTTATGCAGACCACACCCAGAGAAAACAAATAACAGAGTTTTCCCATCATTGACTAAATCCAGTGTAATAAATGCGGAGGCTATGATAGAATGTTACCATTTACAAAGGCTAATGAAATCATAAAACTGTTATAGGCCTGTTCCATGGCTATTAAAATCAGTAAAATCGCTGATGGGCAAGTATTAAATTCAGAAATCAGACTGATAACCTCTGACCAAACCTCACTTAGTTGATAGAGAACTAGCTGTTGTCTTCTGAGATGGTGCAGCAGAATGTCATCCATGAAGATCAATAATTAGAACTTGGATTCTCATTATCAGTAATTAGAACTTGGATTCTCATCAAGTTTCTAGATCTGACTACCAATTATAAGAAATGAGGATCCAGAGGAACACACTTTATCACTGTAGGTATATGGCAAAATTTACAGTGCAAAACTACTGGACAAATGATCTGACTTTAATAAGTAGCAAGGAAAAATAGGAAACATTAAAATAAATTTAAAGATATATATCAGCTAGTTGAAATGTATAGATCCTGAGTTGATCAATCACCTGGAAAAACATTTAGAAGACAATTGAAGTAATTTTGTTATGAGACAAGGTCTTATGTAGTACAGGACAGTCTTAAAGTTGCTTATGTAGCCCAGATTATGGGGAACTCATGGCAATCCTCCTTCCTCTGCCTTCTCAGTGCTGGGATTATAGAGGTTACCACCATGCCCAGCAACAATTGAAGGACTTTACATACTGAGTACTTAAGGAATTGCTAAATTAGGTATGGTGGCACACCTATAATCCTAGCATTCAGGAAGCTGAATTACTCTACTGGTCAGATATTTGAGTGATCTTGATTGGGGTTTGTTACCATTACTGGAGTTGTAAAAATAATTTTCTGTGGGTCAGAAGAAAATGCTTTGGCATTTTGTTGAGCAGAAATCATGCTACTAAATGTTGACCATGCACCAAGCATACATACACATGTAACAGTTTTGAAGGAAAAAAAATATTACAGCATTATTGCATTTATAAGAGAATTCTTTTAAATTTAGAAATTAGCTGGGCGTGGTAGCTCACGCCTATAATCCCAGCATTCGGGAGGCTTAGGTGGGAGAATCCTTGTGAGTTCGAGACCAGCCTGGGCTACAAAGTGAGCTCAAAGCCAGCCTTAACTGCATAGCAAGACCCTGTCTCAAAAAAGAAACAAAAAAAAATTTAGAAATTAATTATTAAATGATGTATATTTCAAAACATATCCCAGTGATTTTAATACCTTTTCCTCTGTGTCCTTTCTAGACTTTTAGACTTTGAAGTTAGCTGTGATCTTAATTACTAAACACATAGGCATTTTCTGTTCTAAGCCTGGGATTTATTTGCCTTAGAGGAATATTAACAATAATTGCTATTTATATAGACGTTACAACTACTAGCATCTTTAGTATTCTCTTGTGAGCATCCACGAGCACTATGGAGTTGATTATAGGAGAACTGACCAAATACTTATTTTCTAAATTATCTGTCATCTATTAGACATACCATGGATTGTATTTAGGGCCTTCACACTGAGCTATATCCCCAGGTGTGTGTTTGTTTGAAAATGGTCT